AATTAATTCTAATGTATTAATTCATTTACAAAGCTTAATATTTTCAATTACTGTACACATTCCTTTACATTGTTATAATATTTTCAGTTATACTTAAAAAAAAAATACTCAGTGTCATCATGCACGAGCAGGACAGGTAGAAGGTAAAAACAAAGCTAAGAAAAACTATAAATTCTCAATCTTGACGGTTTTTAAAACCAAAATAAAGAAAGAACTAAAAATTAACATGTCTCATTTTGTTTTTAATGTTATTATTGTTGCAAATTAACTACATGTCAAACTTAAATAATTCAAAACTTTTTTGAAATTTAATTTTAAATTCATTTTTTATAATAAATAATGTAAAGGAATTTGTGCAGTCCAAAACTGAATTATTTAAGAGTTTTCTTGATTTGAGTTGAAAACAAGAATATCATCAGTCTCGTTTTAAGTCATCATTTCGTAAGCTCTAAGGTCGATGCAATGACTTTATCAGCAAATACAACTTATCATCGAGTCAAATGCTGACTGACGTTTTTCATACTACTTGTTAGGCCATTATTTACAAGATGAGCAAATACTGGAGATTCTATTATTCTGAGCATTTTGATTTTTATACCTGACTACTGGGAGTATTCACTTTTTAAAAGACAAACTATTTTCGCTTATGTGATTATCACGAGTATCTAGTTAACAGTTTTACAATAGGACTTCAGCTCATTTTCATACGACCCCTGATTTGGTTTAATGAAACTTTTTGTCAGTAAACGGAAGGCAAGTGATTAAAATATATTATACAGTAGTCATGTATAAAAATCAAAATGCTCAGAATAATAGAAATACCGGCATTTGCTCGAATTCAACATTTGCATTAAAGATGTTCGTTTAGAACACGAATATAATACAGCACACTTCTATCCACAAATTTGTTATTTCAGTCGTTAGAGCTTCCACGCGATCTGGACCAATGAAAAAATCACTGATTAGTGATCGCTTTCAAACTCCATCTGAATTTTGTATTTTTATTTTGTTTTACAACACATCCGCATACCTCATATATAAATGATATCATTGAATGCATTTTCAACCCATAAATCTTTTGATGACACTTGATCATTTGTTCAGTTGCTGGTACATTACTATTCCCTCTGTTGGTGGTTTAATATGAAGAAATAGAAACAGTAATAGCAAATAATGTTTTAATGTTTTTTATTTAACTTTTTCTCACACTTTTTTTGTACCTCGCCACAATCATAGCTCACATAACCCACAATCTGGGCTAGCCCAAGCACATCTAATTAAACTAATAAATTAAATGCCAAAAAATAACAAGCATGGATGGAATTTTTTTTATAAAGCTAATTTGGAATTTTCATATTCTAACACTATTTAACCTTTGTAGTTTCTTCTACGGGCCTGAGCTTGTGCATAATAAGACGCGTCTTTAACTGGAGCTGCCGCAGCAAACTGTGCTGGCCCGGGCATGCCTGGTCGCCCTGTAGCTCCCTGGGGCCCGCGTTCTCCCTTCTCTCCTGGAACTCCTGGTGCACCTTGGGCACCCTGGTATCCTTGAGGTCCACGTGGCCCTGGTGGTCCATCTGGTCCTTGTGGTCCAGGCTCACCTGCGGGACCCTGAGGCCCTGGCTCACCTGGCATACCTGGGTATCCAACGTCTCCTGTAAAATGAAAAGAGCATTTAATTATAAGCGGTGTTATTTATCTAGAAATACTAAAAAATAAGGAGACCCCTGTACATAAATCGATTCATATGTCAAAGCAAAGTATTATTTTTTGATCATTTTAATGTTTAGCCCCTGATGTTTAGACTTTCAACCATTAAGAATCAATCAATTAGCTTTCTTTTTCCTACCTTTCTCTCCCTGTGGTCCCATGGGTCCCATTGGTCCTGGTAGCCCTGGCTCTCCCTGATCTCCTGGAAGTCCTTGCTCTCCGGGAGCGCCAGGCTCTCCTACTGCTCCTTCGTATCCTTTAAGGCCTTGAGGTCCCTGTGGTCCGGGGGCTCCTGGAACACCTGGGGCTCCGGTTTCACCTGGAACACCTTGGTCACCTTGAGGTCCCTGCATACCTGGTTCGCCTTCTTCTCCAGGAACTCCGGGAGGACCAGTGTCTCCCTTAAATCCTGGATATCCCTGTTTACCCTGAGGTCCGGGAGCACCTGGGGCACCTGGTTCTCCCTTGGGTCCTGAGAAAGATTTAAAAGAATATTAAAAACAAAAACAAGTACAAGTACTGTGATTAAGATTTTTAAAGATTGTTCTGAATCTGTTCTTTTTTATATTCCAAAATTGTATGATATTTTTTTCCTGCTGTAAGCAGAGGCATTTAGCTGTATTAAAGATAATTCTAAATCTCTCTTTTTTTTAATCTTCCAAAATTGTTTAATATTTTTCCTGTATTAAATTTTACCTTATCTCTCTAACTTCTTAAATCAGTGTGCTAAAACTTAATAAAAACACTCAAATAAAGTTTTGTACCCGGGGCGCCCATGGGTCCAACAGGTCCTCTTAAGAAGTAACTACCAGCTCGCTTTCCTCTGCTGTGTGGAGCTGCTGTAAAACGTTTAGGAATAACGTAAATACTACAGTTGATTTAATTCAAAATGAATATTTGATTTTAAAAGAAAGCAGTGATGTATTACAAGAATTATTCCAAATTAAAGTACAAGCGAATGAATAAGTATGCTTTCCAAAATCTTTAAATAAAATTGAAAACATTTCAAACGAAACCAAACCTTATTTTAACTGTTATGAAAAAAACATATTTATATATCCATGCTACCTTGTGTACTTATATTTGAACCATTTCATTTTTTGCTATTTCGTGTAAATACTAGTAATACTTGTAAAAAAAAGACCTATGGTTTCTATTTAATAGATAAAGCCAATGCATTTTTTTAGAAAAAATAATTAATAACGATAGCATTCAACAATTCTGTTAAACAATTATTTTTAATTGCATATGCTTGCATTTTTAAGATCTTTTCATTCTAAAATTATGCCTCCTTAAGAAATACATGTACTTATGATCAAATAAGCTAAATTTTTCCTGGTGTAGTTTCACAAGATAAACTGTTGTTGGTTTGAAAAAAAATAATATATTAAACAGGAAAAACAACTTACTGTGCTCGACCTCCACGATCTCGCTCTGAAGAGTGTTGAGCATCTCTTTCATGGATTCCAACTCGGTCCTGAGTTTGCCTAGCTCTGTTGTACAGTCGCTATTGGGTTTGCCGTACACGGCAGCCCATCCTAGAACGCAGAGCAGCACACAAGTACGCATGGTGATCACAATTCACAGCTGAGTCTGAGACTGAGTGGAACTCACGACTCCCTCTTTTATAAACCCCCGGCCAACTCACACAGAAAAGCCCTGGTGTCGGCAAAAAGTAAATGAGCCTTTGCAAATGTTAAATTTCTTGGGTCTATTCTCTTGATTAATTAGGGGCTCTTTTGGGAGATTCTTTCATGAAAAAATTAGCAAGCATCTTAGCTAACCTGGACGAAATTAAATCAAGAACTACGTGTTCTTTTTATGATAACATAGCATTAATCGTCTTTTTCAGTTTAGAATTTTTTATAAAGCGTTGTATTCCTAGTAAGGACTGACTGTTTAAATTTTAGTTTTATGATGTAATCGAACAGTTTCTCAAAACGTAATTAGACTAAGATGTTTATATGTATGATCTTTACCACAGTATTGAATATATTGTTAACAATTTACAACTTATTTTATTTCACGAAATACAGTAAATACAATGCGGTCATTTGAATGTGTTGTACTTTGCATACTAGTAAGATATGACACTTAACAGTAATAACTAACTTTACGAACCTTTGACATATCTAGAAATACAGGTGAGCATTGTTATACAGGTACATTTTGGTTTTAGTCACGTCAGATTCGTATTTTCTTTACTGGACTTTTAGATTGGTCACTGTTCGTTCCCTTAGAAATAATGATTTAAATTCATTCAAAAATGAAAAACCGAGTGAAATTATCTTTTAATGATCGTAGAAACATATCCATGATATAATTCTCCCGAAAGTAAATATTCATAAAGGATGCACAAATTCGGTCTCTATAGATCGAGCAGCTTAACAAATTGTTATATCAATATGTCTAATTTTACTTGCGCTGATGATAAAAACATTTTACGTTTTCTAAAACTCATAATTGTTATGTAATTGAATTTTTAAGCATGAATCTTATTGCATATGTATACTGTTAAACATTATTCTATGTAAGAGTACATGTTTTATGGATAATTACGCACTTAAGCAGTTTTAATGTTAAATATATAAAGACTTATGGGAAGTTAAAAGTAAGCAATGGGAAGTTAAAAGTAAGCAGGAAATTAAAGGGACGTAGCTACATTAGTATAAATGAAAACTTTCATTTTATTGACATGTAGAAAAGAGCTTAGTGAGATAACATTTCCTCCCTATGCTAAAGATAAAAGCGAAATCCGGGAATTTACAATTACCTTATCACAAGCATGCAAGAAAAAGAAATCGGATTCATCTAATTACAAGTCTAAGTCTGGTCACGGATAATCCATTTCCCACACACGTGTCATTGGGTAACCTCACAAAAACCCCTTTCAAAAAGCAGATTTATTTATTTAATTTTTTAAATTTACTTTCGTCACTAAGTTAATGTACAAGACCTTGATTTAAGTGCAATATATACTTTTTGGTAAAAAAAAATTATGCTTGCACATGTAAATGTATGTACTATACCTTTATTTCCAGACCATCGCAACCTTTTTTCAAACGTATTTATTTCTTTAAAAATGAAAACATTCGAGGATATTTTTTTTTATTCGAAATTTTAAATTGTACTCTAGAGAGATATCCGAACTTTCTATTTAAGTGATAATTCTTATGGTATCGTGTATAAGTTTGAACCGGATTAAATATTATATGATCTATTCAATTGATTTTCAAACAATAAGTGCTCGTTTGTAATTGACAGAGGTGCTTAAAAATGATACATGTAATTATAATTTTCCTCATCTTAAAAACGTTTGTCATATCCGGATTGTGAAGTATAAAGTGGGAGACAACTAGATACAGTCTCACGCTTCGGCAATAAAGGCATGGAAGATCTGCAACAAATCTGGTACTAAAAATGCTTAAAATTATTTTTTTAATATGGCAACTGCATATCAAAATGTCTGACTAGCAGAAAAATACTAAAATAATACTTTTCATATTTCAGTAGCACTGGCGATGCTTCAAGCCGTAATGCAGGACAAAAGGTAATTTTTTTCACTCCAATAAAAAGGGTACATTGACGTAGATTCATATTGCTGAACAAGTTACATACAAAGTATTATATACATGAACATGCATTATTGTTAGTGTATAATTCTGCAAACTGTAGCTCTTTTGAGATTTAAAACTTCTCTTGATAACCGAGACAACAATTTTACACTCAATTTGGCATGAGGTGGTTATATACGTGAACTGGAGCGCGCTCATGCCCCTAGATTGCCCTCTGACATAAAATCTTATCTAGCTCTCTCTTTCCTTTTTTTCTCCCCGATCAATGATTCATTAATTAAGATAAATAAATCATTGTAACTCTCTCTTTACATTTCCAATAAATTTCCCCTTCTCTTTACAAAATGAAATGCAGTATATTTCCTCATTACATTAGGTATGTTTCAGAATAAGCATGAATATCCATTGTTAACAACCGCTCTTAACGTCAAAAAATATAGTGCACACGTTTTCATTTTAAAAATGACAGTTGAACGGCGTAAGTTTATGGCAAGTCATAAGAAAAATAATGTAAATATAAGAAATGAATTTAATTTTTTGAAGATTCATGAGGTATATGAACTACAACGCTTCACGCCGGCATATTTATCATGAAGCGCTAACGCGCTTCATGAAATATAAGTTAATCATATCATGAATCATCAAAAATTAAATTCATTTCTTAAATAAAATTGAAACACATTAAAGAGTTAAGTGGTAAATCAATATGGTTTGACCATCATCTTAGTTAAACATATTGCCTCTTCTATCGCTCAGATACACATATATATTAGAGATCAACATTGCAAAATACTATGATTTCTTCTTTAATGCTCCTCTTATGGGGGCTTTCTCAAGCTAAGGTAAAATATACTTGCCCAATGTATAACCTTATACTGGCCATATTATTGGTTTTCTTATATTGACTCATTTTCAAAATTAAGAAATTACAAAATTATCATTACACAGTAACAAACCCCATAGGCCTATGTTTATTATCATATCATATTATGAATTGGTTTCTTTTAAAACAATTGCACAAGCGGATAATTTTGTTTTCCAAAGCAATACTAAGATGAGGGTTTACTATCAAGTGCTGATGTGTAAAGGAAACATCCTCTATGACCACACTCATATCTTCGAGGGGTACTTTTTCTTTTTATGATTTGTGTGTTTATCTGAATTTATGCAAAAATGTATCACTGTTCGTTGCTTATTACTTTACATTCTATATTCTCAACTTTGAACATGGGTAAAAAAATTATTGCATGAACTCAACTAATTACAAGTGGGCAACAAAAAATTATCTTATTCAGGAAGCATATATGAAGAATTCCTAAAATGAGGGTTTAATATCAAGTGCTGATATGTAAAGGATAACATCCAGAATATATGACCACACGTCATTATCACGTAAAAGGCAAATCTGGTACTTTGATTTAAAATAGGGAATAAATACCTCTCATATTTGTGTACTTGATTAGCACTTAAATCCAGGCTAGGTAGTGTTTTTTCCTAAAAATCATGAAAACAGATACTAGAACAAAGTTTATATAAGTGAAATGAATAAAATTTTGCAAAGAATTGTTATATTTTAATTATTTTAATTTTTTCCTAAAGTTATTTGTAAAGAAAAGAGTGATAATTATAAACAACATAAAAAATATATTATTTTTAATAGTTGTAACCGTATGTTTCTTTATAAATAAAGATGAGTAGAATAGGCGGGCCTTAGTACAATAAAGGATATGTATGTCTAGGGGAATTACGTCATGTGACTATTTCGCACATAGTCGCTTTCAGAGAACAAGTGTACAGTACGATGACTGAATGACAAAACATGCTGTTTTACTGGATTTTTATATATCATCTCAGACACGTAGTGTAGGTCAATTTACACATTGGTAAAGTGGGAGAGTATATAGGGATCGGGATGTCCGTCCGTCCGTTCGCCCCCTCTTACGCTTTTGAGTACTCATCTCTTATCCGCGACTCCTCTTTTACCACTGAATAACATTTAAAGAGACTTGCACAGAATCTTTATTATATAGTGCCATTGTGCAACTTTGATCAGACACATAATTTGGGTTTCTCAGAGCAAAACATGGACACTGTCATTCTTTCTATAATATTGAAAGGTACCTATGGAACGCCATAGCTGCCTTATGTGGCTATTTCATATTATGCTGTGGTTATTTTATATGAAGATGGTGCTCTTGTATATGAAGATGGTGCTCTATTATATTATGCTGTTGTTATTTTGTATGAAGATGGTGCTCAATTTTATTATGCTGTGCTTATTTTATATGAAGATGGTGCTCTATTGTATTATGCTGTGCTGATATCCAGGCTAGGTAGTGTTTTTTCCTAAAAATCATGAAAATAGATACTAGAACAAAGTTTATATAAGTGAAATGAATAAAATTTTGCAAAGAATTGTTATATTTTAATTATCTTAATTTTTTCCTAAAGTTATTTGTAAAGAAAAGAGTGATAATTATAAACAACATAAAAACTATATTATTTTTAATAGTTGTAACCGTATGTTTCTTTATAAATAAAGATGAGTAGAATAGGCGGGCCTTAGTACAATAAAGGAATATGTATGTCTGGGGGAACATATGTCATGTGACCATTTCGCACATAGTCGCTTTCAGAGAACAAGTGTACAGTACGATGACTGAATGAAAAAACATGCTGTTTTACTGGATTTTTATATATCATCTCAGACACGTAGTGTAGGTCAATTTACACATTGGTAAAGTGGGAGAGTATATAGGGATCGGGATGCCCGTCCGTCCGTTCGCCCTCTCTTCATCTTCGCTAGCCAAGGGTTTCTGATACGCTACGCTCCTCATAAACCCTTGGCCTACGGTGTTCATAAAAATCGGGATTTTTTCCAGAGTTCTGATTGGATTTCAGTACACACCCGTCGACCAATCATCAATTGTTTTTTGTAAATGACGAATGTTTGCGTTCGGGATACTTCTTGACTCTTTAATCTCGGAATTGAAAAACGCGAGTAAACAACGATCCGTAAGATAACATGCAATTCTATGAATAGCTATGGTGTCATCCAATATCTTCTAAATATGTGATTAAGAATCTATATTGAAGCTTCCGATTTGTACTATAAGTGATAAATGAACATTACTCGATTATTGCTTCTAAATTATTCTTGAAAAAACTTTAATTTAATTTTTTTTAAACATGCGTCTTTATTTCTGTCGATGACGCAATCTGTGCGTACCTGATAGATTCAAGATCACGTGACGAAAATAATCCCGTCTTTTGACTTCACCGTAGGCAAAGGGTTTATGAGGAGAGTAGCGTATCAGAAACCCTTGGCTAGCGAAGATGCCCTCTCTTACGCTTTTGAGTACTCATCTCTTATCCGCGACTCCTCTTTTACCACTGAATAACATTTAAAGAGACTTGCACAGAATCTTTATTATATAGTGCCATTGTGCAACTCTTATTTTACTTTTTGATCAGACACATAATTTGGGTTTCTCAGAGCAAAACATGGACACTGTCATTCTTTCTATAATATTGAAAGGTACCTATGGAACGCCATAGCTGCCTTATGTGGCTATTTCATATTATGCTGTGGTTATTTTATATGAAGATGGTGCTCTTTTATATTGTGCTGCGGTTATTTTATATGAAGATGGTGCTCTATTATATTATGCTGTTGTTATTTTGTATGAAGATGGTGCTCAATTTTATTATGCTGTGCTTATTTTATATGAAGATGGTGCTCTATTGTATTATGCTGTGCTTATTTTATATGAAGATGGTGCTGTGGTTATTTTATATAAAGATGGTGCTCTATCATATTATGCTGTGGTTATTTTGTATGAAGATGGTGCTCAATTTTATTATGCTGCGCTTATTTTATAATAAGATGGTGCTCTATTGTATTATGCTGTGTTTATTTTATATGAAGATGGTGCTGTGGTTATTTTATTTGAAGATGGTGCTCTATTATATTATGCTGTGGTTATTTTATATGAAGGTTTTGCTTTAATATTATATTATGCTGTGGTTTTAAAATATGGAGGTGGTGCTTTATTATATTATATTATACTTTCATGTAAATTAGTTGAATCTGATTTGTCGAGAAACATTTGTTAAAAAACACTATTACCCACTGAATAATGAAGCCACGCCCTCTAGCGTAGCAACAGTCAACAAAGCTTGACGACGGGTGATATTCCAAAAAATAGCGACTGCGCAGAATTTATGCGCGCACGGTTCACTGTTATATGTATTTGTATAAAACATTCAGTATAATATAATAAATATTGCATGTAGTTGAGTGTAACATTGAAAATTTTCACCCCTCGAAAACCATTGTTTTTTTTATGTGAAGGTGGTTTTTTTAAAAAAAAAATATTCAATGTCAAGGTATTCCTCATATTTTTTTAGATTAAATTTAATACTGAGTTTATCAGCTATTATCTCGAAAAGTTGAAAGTAAAACAAATACTAGTTCTAGTAACTGATGTAATCAAAATCATTTGAATACACTATTGCTAGTCTCTCTCTCATTTTTCCTTTAGGCACTTGGTTTCAGGTTGGTGTATTTTGTGTAGTAATGTTTTTTTCCTTAGTGTGTCTAAATGCACTCGAAAACATAAAATTAAAAACGATCACTAAGATTAGAACGTTTTAAAAATGTCGTTTTACTGTATATAGTAAGAGTGTAGGTACGACAGAACTTTGCCATTTTCGGAAAATCTATAGGGATTTGTTGTCTCTGTCTTTCCGGGACACCTCTACATTCTACTATAAATCGTCCATTGCTTTCACTTTCAGTGCCAAGTACATGAAGTATCAAGACGTTTTTGTTTACTGCATATTTTATAAATAGTGATAGACGAAATGGAGATTTCACTCGAAACTCTGTCCGAAACTGGTAGGAAAAGTGTAGATATTGTTTAAAATCAAGAGTTAACCGAGCTGGGCACCCCGTAATATCGAAGACTGCAACTGTCCTAACGTCATTTCTTTTTTAAAAAGACGATAATATGGCATTTTTAAAATGTATTAATTTTTATTACGGTATTTTACCGAATTTATTCAGACACAGCTTGGAAACCAGAAGTCTCTGTCGAGACTGTAGCTCTACTGGTTTGTACTTATGACAAAGGATGAGAAAAGAAGCCATTGCCATCAGGAATTTCACAGACATTTCTATTTTTAGTAACAATAGCAAAACTGTTCATCGAAATCAAAAACTGATGCGCTATTTTATGTATCTTAGTGCAGTCTTCTTGTGTGCCAAGTAATACTGAAATCAGACCATAACTGTAGAAGGAATAGCGTTTTAAAGGAATTTCACAGAAAATTCTGTTTTCAGTAAGCATGGCAACACTGTTCATCGAAATCAAAAACCGATGCAATATTTTATGTATCTCAGTGTAGTCTACTTTAGTGCCAAGTAATATTAATATCAGACTAAAACTGTAGGAGGAGTAGCGTTTTAAAGGAATTTCACAGAAAATTCTATTTTTAGTAACCATGGCAACACCTTTCATCAAAATCAAAAACCAATGGACTATTTTATGTATTTTAGTGTAGTCTGCTTATGTGCCAAGTTATATTGAAATCAGATCAAAAGTGTAGAAGGAGTAGCGTTTTCAAGGAATTTCACAGAAAATTCTATTTTTAGTAACTATGGCAACACCTTTCATCGAAATCAAAAACCGATGCACTATTTTATGTATCTTAGTGTAGTCTACTTGTGTGCCAAGTTATATTGAAATCAAATGAAAACTGTAGGAGGAGTAGCATTTTAAAGGAATTTCACAGAAAATTCTATTTTTAGTAACCATGGCAACACCGTTCATCGAAATCAAAAACCGATGCAATATTTTATGTATCTTAGTGTAGTCTAATTGTGTGCCAAGTTATATTGAAATCAGATGAAAGCTGTAGGAGGAGTAGCATTTTAAAGGAATTTCACAGAAAATTCTATTTTTAGTAACCACGGCAACACCGTTCATCGAAATCAAAAACCGATGCATTATTTTATGTATCTTAGTGTAGTCTACTTGTGTGCCAAGTTATATTAAAATCAGACCAAAACTGTAGGAGGAGTAGCGTTTTGAAAAATTGTTTAGAGACAGACGGACAGACAGACAGACAGACGGACGGACGACGGACGCATTACTATCGCATAAGCTCTTCTGGTCTCTGACCAGTAGAGCTAAAAACCAATGCACAGAATTATGTATCTTAGTATAGTCTACTTGTGTGCCAAGTTATACTGAAATCAGACCAAAACTGCAGAAGGAGTAGCATTTTGAAAGAATTTCACAGAAATTTCTATTTTTAGTAACCATGGCAACATTGTTCATTGAAATCAAAAACCGATGCACAGAATCATGTATCTTAGTGTAGTCTACTTGTATGCCAAGTTATATCAAAATCAGACCAAAACTGTAGGAGGAGTAGCATTTTGAAAGAATTTCACAGAAATTTCTATTTTTAGAAACCACGGCAACACCGTTTATCGAAATCAAAAAATGATGCACAGAATTATGTATCTTAGTGTAGTCTACTTGTGTGCCAAGTTATACTGAAATCGGACCAAATCTGTAGGAGGAGTAGCATTTTGAAAGAATTTCAAAGAAATTTCTATTTTTAGTAACCACGGCAACACCGTTCATCGAAATCAAAAACCGATGCACAGAATTATGTATTTTAGTGTAGTCTACTTGTGTGCCAAGTAATATTGAAATTGGACCAAAACTGTAGGAGGAGTAGCATTTTGAAAGAATTTCACAGAAATTTCTATTTTTAGTAACCACGGCAACACCGTTCATCGAAATCAAAAACCGATGCACAGAATTATGTATCTTAGTGTAGTCTACTTTTGTGCCAAGTTATATTGAAATCAGACCGAAACTGTAGGAGGAGTAGCATTTTGAAAGAATTTCACAGAAATTTCTATTTTTAGTAACCACGGCAACACCGTTCATCGAAATCAAAAACCGATGCACAGAATTATGTATCTTAGTGTAGTCTACTTGTGTGCCAAGTTATATTGAAATCGGACCAAAACTGTAGGAGGAGTAGCATTTTGAAAAATTGTTTACAGACAGACAGACAGACAGACGGACAGACAGACGGACGGACGACGGACGCATTACTATCGCATAAGCTCTTCTGGTCTCTGACCAGTAGAGCTAAAAAAATCATAATACACAAAATACACTATACTGACTGAAACAAAGGACCTATGGAAAAAAGAGCGGGAACTAGCAATGACGTATTAAATAGGACCACCTTCATATAAAATAACCACAGCATAACATAATAGAGCACGATCTTCATATAAAATAACCACAGCATAATATAATAGAGCACCATCTTCATATGAAATAACCACAGCATAATATAATAGAGCACCATCTTCATATAAAATAAGCACATCATAATATAATAAAGCACCGTCTTCATATAAAATAACCACATAAAGCAGCTATGGCGTTCCATAGGTACCTATATCTTATCCGCAATTCTATACCACTGAATAAAGTTTAATGATACTTTCACACATTATTAGCAATAACAACGACGACAGACAACGAACAAATAAAACTCACTTGAACATTCGGCCAAGTGGAGCTAAGAGTTAAGAAGACCATGATCTTTAAAGAAGACACGGAAATATTTGAACCCCCCCCCCCCCCCCCCCCTTAAAACGAAAGGAAATATTTATCACTCATTCTTACATGATTGTATACGTCCGAAATGCAATTATTGCTTTAGTCAGACAATTAATATTGCAAGCCTTTTGAAAAACTTTTATTTGTTGTATTTATGTGTGGAGATAAGTTATTGAAATTGAAAAAAATGCTATTTATTATACGAAACAAGAGTAAAGTAACAAAGTTATGAAAAGAGCACTAAAAACCTTACTTATCTAGAAACCTACTTACTCCAACTAAGCCACACCAATCCGATACCTAACCCCACCCCACCCCATATGATTTTCAAGTTTTGTCAATTTGCATAATTTTAAAAATAAAAACAGCTCAAATTACTGTAGACGTACTTTTTTCCGCGGGGTCATAATTCCGCGGAATCTCAATTTCTGTTTAATCCGCAGGTAGAAAAGTACGCGGATTTCTTAGATTGTCATTATATGCCCTACATTTTCATTGAGTACGCTTGGAGAAATTTCCGCGGAAAATTTATGACCGCGTACATAGCGTAAATTAATACCACGCGGAAAAAAGTACTTCTACAGTATTAATATGAGAGTTTTTATGACCCCCCCCCCCCCCCGTTTATATTACGTGCTTGAAACTGAAGTGGTAATTCTGATATTTTCTAGGTGAATGGAAGGATAATAGGATTGGTGACAGCCGTTGTCTTGGTTGTTGTACTTGTTCTTGCTATTTCTATTCCGCTAACCCTGAGAAAGAACCAGGCATCTAACAACCCCAGTCCTCTCTGTAAGTCTTCGTAGTATTATTAATTAAAAATCTGGTCTAAAGTAATTTTTTTGTGATGAAACAATAGTAGTAATTAAAGAAGACATAAATTTATTATGTGTGGAGAAAATCACGTGTGAAGAACGTTTCAGAATGTACAAGAATGATGCAATGACAGAGAGAACCAAGGTACAATATCGGCCATGTTCTGGGGCTGTATCCCCTATAATGGTGTCAGAACAATGGAAACATGCATTCCATTATCTATATTGAAACTGTGGATAAATATCTTTGGCCACTCGTGTCAGAAACATTGGAAACAATCCTTGAATATTTCAAGAAGTCAATGTTCCTTGCCATGTAAAAAAATGGAATGCCTGGAAAGAAGATATAAATATTCCAATTCTACCCTCCCAGATAGCAGGATGCTATTGGACCTTTGTTGGGCCAACAATGCTCCTTATGTTGGGCCACCGTTTGCATTCAACATTGGGCCATCGGTAATTTGCTCATCGGCCCTTAATCAAACCAACTTGTTGGCTTATTGTTGGGCCAGTATAACAGTTAATATTGGGCCACTGTTGGGCCAATGTATTATTTCAATATTGGGCAAACGTCATTTTTGTATAATTGGGCCACTGTAAGCAATTAATGTTGGGCCAACGGTAATTTGCTCATCGGCCCTTAATCAAACCAACTTGTTGGCTTATTGTTGGACCAATGTAACAGTTAATATTGGGTCACTGTTGGTCCAATGTATTTTTCCAATGTTGGACAAACGTCATTTTTGTACAAATGGGCCATTGTAAGCAACTAATGTTGGGCCAACGGTAATTTGCTCATCGGCTCTTAATCAGACCAACTTGTTGGCTTATTGTTGGACCAACGAACGGATATTATTGAGCCATTGTTGGGCCACTTATTCTTTCAATATTAGGCAAACATCATTTTTGGGCCAACGTTGGTTTGTATCTTATTGGCTCTCAATCACGACGACTCATTTGCTCTTCACTGGTTGGCCATTTGTCCTCAAAATTGACAAACAAATATATACAATAAGGTTATACTAGTTTGTAGTACAGTTTAATGGTAAAAGCCCTTTAATACTATCTATATATGCTATATATGCTAGATTAATAGTTTAATACATATTCTCAATATCTCATAGAATTGCCATCAACAAGTATTGCATTGTAAGTAGCTCTACATTAATTAAAAAACTGAGGAAAAAGAAATCAAATTATAAAATTAAATTACAACACACTATAATTTTGTTGCTCAGTGCATGAAGAAAACATTAATAAAGAACTAAAAGTTGATGCTCACTTCGAGCGATACATGTAAGGTTACTTAAGGATGCCAGCGAAGCCCGTTATGCATTAATTATCCCATGTTTCCCACTGTTGTTGATGTCCGTGGCATACTATACTAACTAGACAGTGATTTCTTATATTTCCATTTCATTGTGAAATAAAATTGTAGATTTAGACTTTAAAAATGCAGACATAGATTTAAATTACACGAGGATTCCCATCCCACTTTCAATAGTCCTCGCCCACTGACGTCAAACATAACGGAAGCCGCACGAAATTTTCATGCATATTTTGCCTCCTTAGCGTCCGACTGAGAGACAGATGCGCACGAGATTTACATGTATAATAGGGCTTCTTAGCTCCTGACCTATTGACCTGCCTAATTTACATTCTGGTAGAATTATCAAAAAATTAACTCCGCTAACTTTCAAAGAGTTATCACAGAGAGAAAAATTAGAAATGGAAATATATGACTGTATACTCCCTCTTTGATGTAAATTTATGCACAAGTTCAGTAAATTACAGGTATAAATAAGCACGTCTAACAAATAAACAAAGCCCTCCTGTTCTTAAAATAATTCTAAAATGAATTCTGTCATTTTGTTTACTTACACAAAAAATGTTTCTGGCATCTGCATCGTGTTTGTAAGCGACAAACATACACAGAAAAGGGTAGAACTACAGGGTTGTCACACTATATTACAGAAAAAAGTTTAAGGCACTGCCACTTTCTATCTGATCCCTCTCCTAAGCCTCCTCTTCTCTCTCCCAAGTCTCCTCCTCCCCCTTCTTTTCTTCTCTGTCCGTTTCTTCCTCCCCCATCCCTGTTCTTGGCATACCTATTCTTTGATTATGTTCTCAATGTCTTTTTGGAATCTCCAGTAGCACTAAAATTGTAGTATTTGGTACTTAATGCATTTGTTACTTTTCTCAGTAAAGAGTAAACATAGAATTAAATTTACAAGTATATCACTATATGTTTGAGCTGTCAATTAAAGAATAACCGTCTTTTTGTTTTATGGTGTTATTAAGTGATTAGCTTGCGTGATGAATGCATTTATGCATAACATTTCTACGCTTGATCATCATCATCACAACGATTTTGATTCAATGTTGCCCCATATAAAATACATGTATTGAAAATTTGTCGTTACACTGAACAAATTTTAAATTTAAGAACCCAATTTATGTTTAGTACTGAATAAATTTTGTTTTAACTTCAGTTCAACATTTTCAAAATGTTTGATCATGTACTCGACGTTAAGTGTATATAAGTAAATTAAGGTCAGACGAGACGTTCCTCAACATCTGTTTTGTAAATCTTTGTAATGTATGAAAAATATTCAAAATTTTAATAACATTCTGATTTCTAAACCAGTTTCTAAACGTTTTTTAAAAATCCAAACACTTAAACATTTGAAATTGGAAAATTATTTTTCTTCCCCAAAGGATTATATAAGAAAAACTACCCCTGGTATCTTGCAGAAATGCCTGGTAAGGTACCTCGATTTTTTGTGAGTAAACATGTTTAAGTAGCAATACTTCAATGACAAAATCCTAGAAAAAATTATCTATTATTAAGGAACGTCTCGTCTGTCCTTAAGTGGTAGACTTCGGAAATGTATTCTACTAGACACAAATTTCAATCTAAATAAGGGGCAAATTATTTATTTTTTAACTGTATCAAAACACATTTTTATTTTATACTTTCAATTATTTTTCTTGTATAGAAACAAAAAAATTAATCACTGATAATTTATTTTTTTTGGATAAATTATAAGAATTTTAAATTTATTTTAGCTTGCTTGTATTTTCAAATAGGATTGGTTGTAGATTTATTTCTGATTGTAGAGATGATCGGATTTGTTAATATACAGATTTGTAACAATTAAATGTTTATATATACACATTGGCCCAATGTTGGTCCAATATATCGGGCCAACATTGGGCCAAGGAGCAAATTACACTGGGCCAACGTCATTTGCCAACATCGGCCCAATGTTCTTGTTGACGTTTCGCCAACAATGTCGCATTCATTGGGCCAATGTTGGCGCAACGTTGGGCCAATATCTGTAGAAATAATTCTCTACATAGGGCCAATGTTGGCCCAACATATCGGGCCAACATTGGGCCGATGAGCAAACTTAAATTGGGTCAATGTCATTTGCCAACATTGGCCCGATGTAACCGATTACATTGGCCCAACGTTGGCCCAATGTTAGCATGCTATCTGGGGTACAGTGTTGACCCAACAGCTCCTGGCCTCTGCACTTCCCCGTGTCTGATTTACACAGATTTGTACATGATATATCGTTTAAAAACTAAACGTTAATTCAGCTGTGCCGAGGCAAACATATTATAAATACTTACAAAAAGGATCCAGATATGCAAGGTATCAGTCTCATTACGATCGCTCGTGTCAGATTAAAAATGGCGCGGATATTACAAGTAGCCCGGTTGTTGTCTACCCATGATGCTCAGTCAGATTCATGGTATATTGGGCCATCTTAGGACCGATGCCAATCCCCAAACAAATATTTTCTCTCATGATAATAGTTTTATGATATAATGCCAACAGTTAGACCAACATTAGCGCACCATTATACATAACCAGCTATCAATATTCCATGTTGGGCTATCGTTAGCCCAATCAAGGTAACCCAACATAGATAATAGAACCATAGTGTAAGATTGGGCCAACGATGCTCTGCTATCTGGGTTATTACAAATAAATAAGCATAAACACAATTCAAAAAATAGAATAAAACACTCTTTGGTGCTGTGATCACTTAAGTGCAAAGTTAAAATGTTGAAAATATCATATCTAAACAAAAGCAGTCATCCAATGATAAGCATGGACATAGAAAGTCCTCTTGATTATTTTAGAATGTGCCAACGCTGTCCCAAAGTAAAGCTCAGCAGCTAATTATAAAATTGACACCATCAATTAGTTGGCAGTATAATAATTGGGCCAACGTTGGCCCAATATAAATATCCCATCTTTGAAACACCTAAACAATATAACACTTGTGTTTATTACAAACATTGTGCCAACGTTGGGCCAACATACTACTACCAACTTGATAGGACACGTTCTTTAAGGGTGTATTACAAACATTGGGCCAACATAATACTACCAACTTGATAAGACATTTTCTTTAAGGGTGTATTAGAAACATCGGGCCAACGTTGGTCCAACATACTACTTCAACTTGATAAGGCACTTTCTTTAAGGGTGTATTACAAACATTGTGCCAACGTTGGGCCAACATACTACTACAAACTTGATTGGACACTTTCTTTAAGGGTGTATTACTAACAATGGGCCAACGTTGGGCCAACATAATACTACCAACTTGATAAGACACATTCTTTAAGGGTGTATTACAAACATCGGGCCAACGTTGGGCCAACATACTACTACCAACTTGTAAAAAAAAACTTTCTTTAAGGGTGTATTATAAACATTGGTCCAACGTTGGGCCAACACCAGGATCCTTCCTTCCTTGGAAAGTGAAATGAATGGAAGTTGCTTACGTTGGACCAACGTTGGGCCAACATAAGAATTCCGTCATGGTCGAGAAGGTTGACTTGGTATCATTGGTCCAACGTTGGCCCAACGTTGTTCCCCCAACGCCAACCATACAACCTTTAGCAAATGTTGGCCCAACATAGTCATGCTATCTGGGCTGGCCTGCTCATATACTGTAAATTTAATAGAATATGTAAAGAGAGGTGTGAAAATCGACATCAAACACATAAATGAAATAAACAAAAAGTCAGATATTGAAATTGTCAGTAGTGATTGAAATTAAGGCATCATTTCCTTTATAAGCCTTAATCAAAGTAATACACATGTCAGATATGAAAGCCCTATCTCTTCTCAATCAAAAGTTAAAAGGAAAGATAATTGTTTAAAAGCAGGTCTGACTATAAGGCCAAGTTAAAAATCAGTGTACACTGTATATTTAGAAAAAGGTCATAGGTACATATGTAAATATACAGGTTATTATGAAAACCCTCCATTTTCTCTTATAAAATATTTTACCAATTTAAAGTGATGTAACAGTTAATTTTTTTAAGTAGGCCAAACGTCAAGGTCAAAAACCATGCTACACTTAAAAAAGTCTTGCCAAAGGTATTGCACATGTGAAATATGAAAACCTTATCTCTTCTAGTTCAAAATATATGGCCAAGGTCAAAGTTTCTTTTGTGACAGACGAACAGACTTTTGAATAAGATTAGATAGGGCCATCATATTGGACATGTGCATTACCTGCAACAAGATGTATCCGAACATGGTATGATTTTTGATTTCTTGACCTTTGCATTTGACGGTGATTATACCTCTGAATGACATATCGTTTGGCGTTCATATGAGACACAACATACCATGAATAATGGCATCCCATCCACTAAAACACTGAAAGCGGGGGACAACAATTTTATGATTTTACTTGTTAAAGTTATAAGTATTATTGTTGTTTGTTTTACATCACAAAAGTGTAACTCAGCATTTATAACGGTGGTCGCCATTTTGGGAACTAAATTATGGTCAACTACTGTATATGCAGCATAATTGATATGCTGTATTTTTACCAGAACTCACAGCATATGATTAAGTAATAAAACAAATGATCTGCAATTTTATTTTCAGCATCATGTCCTGCTGGGTACTCAGGTCAATTTTGCGATGTGCCGGTTTGTATGAGCATGTGCCATCATGGAGATTGCGTGCTCCCAAACACCTGCAACTGCAATTCTGGTTGGACAGGCCGTGCGTGCGACCAGGCAATGTGCGAAATGTCCTGCAGTCCGCATGGAAACTGCACAGCTCCTGATACATGTAGATGTGAGAATGGTTGGCAAGGAATGACATGCGAGATGCCCTTCGCACCCGGATTTAATCCCACCATGAGATATATCTACAATATATCTATATCCCATACAATGGAAAGTGATACCATGATGAATACTGATTCCTACACTAATGGCGTAGATGTTCAACAATTCCTTTCCAATGTAAACATAACATTTTCCGTTTCTGCTGTCCAAAGAAAGACAAATCACTCGATTGGGATGCTTCGGATTTTGAATGCAGTTTGTCACTCCGACTTTGGAAAACAAATAACAGATTTAAAAAATGCTACCTGCGACCAAGACTTAAAGAATTTATTACGCATTGAAATTATGTTTTCTCAAGATATGACGACTGGAAAAATTATGAATATTTACTACAATTCTTCTACCGAAGCCCAGGCAAACTTTATAGCACGTTTACTTCGCTTTATTGACTGTAAAACAGCGCCATCAAACGAGGACAGGATCGAAGAGACATCAACTAATGACGGAGAACAAACTTATTTGCTTCGCCATCGACTAAAACCTGAAAATGGCATGGATTGCTTTAATTTTAAAAGAGAAGTAAAAAATGAAGAGAATATGATTACCGATCGCGAGGAGAAGAAAATATGTATGGGAGAGACTGGGGCTCCTCAAATTATCACCATGTCAGAGTTTTTTGAGATCGGTAAAAATATGAATGTTAACGACTCTATAAACGGAGATGAATCGAATTTATCGCCTTTGCCCTCTTTTAAAGGGCGGGTCTTTGCAACTGGATCTCTTGTCTCCATGAAGAAAATGACTGAAGCTGAATTAGAAGATGAACTAGAAAATGTACAGATGGCCTTAGCATTTAAAAATATCCAGTCTTCTCCCATCGACGAGTTCGCGTTCAGGAGGATTTCCACGGAGGAGGAATACAAACACAGCAATGCTCCTCATGATATTGGTCACCTTCTTCGTCACCCATTCCGAAATCTTCGTCTATCACTTGGTCTTGATTTGGTAAGGAAAAGCCAATCTACCATTTCCATCATTGGAAAGATGATTTTCTCTCAAAGTGTCGCAGACAGAGATTCTAGGTCACTTCTCATAGCGATTCTTGGGTCATCGCAAACCTTATCGGGACAGAAAATCCTGATGCAACTTTTAGATGCCGAGGAGAAAGTGAATGGTGACCATTACCTTGCCTTGGGTTCCGTGGCTCAAATGTTAAAGCCCTCCGAAGATATGGTTTCGCTATTGCGTAAACTTTTAAGTAACACCCTGGATGAGGATGTTAAAACTAGGGCTGTTTTAGTTCTTGGAGTACTGGGAAGTAGGGGATTGGATCATAAAGTTGTTCCTATCTTGACTGAAACATTGTTCAAGAATAATGTCCCTCACGATGAAATTTGTTTATTGATTTCAGCTTTAGGGAATACTCACTCAGAAAAAGCTTTAAAGCCTTTGTCAAAAGTTTTAGAGAACATGGAGACATTTTATAAAATTCTTTGTTTAAGAGCTCTGAAAAATATTCCTGGTCAAAAAAGTTACAAGCTTGTTTTACACGCCCTTTTGAATACAAGAAATAAGACGGTAGCTCTTCAATGTTTAAAGACGCTTAAATATAAAGGAAATTGGATCAACAAGAATGACTCAAATTCCATTCTACAGCTAGCTCACAACACGAAAGATGTAGGAATAATTTTTGCTATTAAACACATGTTTCATCAGCTACATGAACATGCTATTTGTACAGAGAAACAAAAGGAGGATTTTCACTCCAAATCATTGATAATAAACGAAATTATTGTCAAACTTCAGAACCTGGAAGTACAACTTTTTGAGTTAAAACGAGAGTCTCAGAATTTTGGTGTGTACTTTAATATGTCGGTGGATTCTCAAATACGTGGTTCTGAGTATGATTTCAATGCCAATTCAAACCTTGGCATAAAGGTGTTTGGTAAACGTATAAATGTTTTGGAGGCAGGATCTGCTAACTCGCTGCTTGACTCTGGTATGTTTATGTCTTCAGTTTTTATGACTTTGAATTTATTTGGACGAGAGTACGACTTATTCATGAAATCTTGGAGATTTGAGCTAAATTTGGGTATCGTAGAAGGAGATCCATGCAAGGCGAATAATGGTGTTATCAGGCACACCCTGTCTGAGCACTTTCAATTTGGAAACTTTACTTTTACGTATGGTATATTTGGAATAGCCACAGTCAATTTAAAGGTGGGAATCAGTGCTCCTGTTTCTTTTGGATATGGATTCAGTATTGTTGGAAATGATGGTGACATGGTACCACAGCAAGTGAATGTTGTTGCAAAGCCTGAAGCAAACCTGACCACAAGTGTTGCTGCCTCTGTCGGTGGCACTTTAGCGCGAGTTGGGGTAAGAGGAGACATTGCTGTTCTGACTGGAAGTGTGCAAACTAACGTTGCTTTGAATTTACAAAATCGAAACTTCTGTCATTTTGTAGATGTCAATGGGCACGTATTACAAGGTTCTCTGTACATTTTCGGGCAAGTAGGTTTCTCTTTTTTTAAAAGAAAATTTGAAAGGAAACTTTTTGATTGGACTGGAGTTAATATATCAAGAACTGTAACGGAATCCTTCTGTTGCTCAAAGGTTTTTCATTCTACCAAAGAAACACCCATTCGGAGATGTAGCATGCTGTACCCTGTTCTTTCAAATACTAGTGGAGTATCTTGCAACAGAAAAATGTCTGAGAGTTTATCAGTGCTCACTTCAGTAAGAACGTGTTTAAATTCAGTAAACAGTAGTGGTTGCCCGACAGGCCTGACACAAGCTTTAACAAATGAAGGCATTCATATTTTTGGCCTTAAGTCTTTAAACCAATTAAAGAAAAGTTACGTTTTAACCACTAAACATATAATGCCAATATTAATTACTAATACTGGTGATTATTACGGTTTAGATAGATCAGGTAATGTTGTCCAAGTAAATGAGTATGACAATGTTACAAAGGTTAAGTTGTCTCTCATAAACCTGTTAGCTAGTTTGGTTTACAGTCCAGAAATAAAACAAGTTTATGGAAGTTTGATAAAGAAACAAAGTCTATCACAACAGCCACCAACATTGTCTGTAGTAAAATCCACTTCTAAAGTACTCGATCTCAGACCCTATTGTTACAAAATGATGGCGATTTGTGAGAACATAAAAATGGGGAAAATGTATCATGGTGACAGGATGACATTTACAGAAAATAAAGAAATCAAATCATTCAACGACAAGGAGGCATGCTCTGCGTACATCAAGTCTAACGGAATCAGATATCCGTTCTATTGTGAAGCCTACCCGTTCTCGTTTACATTACAGGGAGGTAAAGGGGCCACTGTAATGTCCGTCAACGTAATGGAAAGGGATGTCAAAATGGAGGCATTCCATGCTTTTATTAGAAGTTCCGGGCTGAAAGGGGGTGATTCTTTTGTTGTTATTGTATAATATTGAGAAAAAAACACGTTCACAGTTATGTTTTCTTTAAAATCCATATTAAAACTATTGAAACCACCTGTTCTTTGAATTTGGAAAAGATTGCATTATGGTTATACATCTTCTGTTGGTAATATGAGGAATAGATATTATGTAGAAAATTTTGAAATGAAATAAACGGAATGTATGTAATGCATACATATAATATACATATGTATCTATACTTTTATTGGTGAATACTCTTACTGTTTTAACTTTGGAAATGCTATCTTTATTAAAAGAAAGTAATAAAGTGTTTCTTTGTTCTTGTTATTTTGGGAGGATGATTTTTGAATGACCCATTCAATTATAAGAAGCATATAAATATTTACAAATATAATTACAGTTTAAGTATCAGTAGTTGTCTATATTTTTATTAATTAAAGACTCTGTAATAATATTGAACAATTACCTGTAAGAACGTGTATAGTCGATATAAAAAGAGGGAGGAAGATGTACGTCTCTGATCTATGCTTGACCCGATGTACGCATATTGTAAGAAATACAACTCTTCTTTAAATTTCTTCAAATAATTTAAAGTTAGAACCATCTGATTAAAAAACACGAGGTAAAAAGTTTTAAAATCAAATCGTTTTAGTGAACATGCATGGTTATGTCAATAAAGTAAGAGTTTCACTGTAAACAATACTTCAACAACTCAGTACCCAAATATATACCTGTATTTAAGGATATTTTTGGAGAAGCATTTTGCACGATCGAGTATGTCTATTTACAGTTTTCCATTTTACTTCAGTAAATATGCTATACATTTATAGTGATTGAAATATTTTTATATCTATCTTAAAAATCTGTTTCTGGTTTAATTTTTTTTGGCATTGTTTTCCCTTTACATTGTATACATGATTTTAGAATACCACCCTGGGGCACGTTTTACAAAAGAAGGTACAACTAACACCAAAGTTTCATTCTGCTATAACTTTTTTTTAGAAAAATTAAAAATGTTTTCAATCTTTTTAAAAGTAATTTAGAGAAATGTTTTACTGCTAGCAAAATTATAAACATTTGGCATAATTTTTCCAACAAGTCTTAAGTTCTTTAGTAAAACGGGCCCCTGAATCCGAACTTGTGTAAATCTGTGACAAGCTCTTTAAGGTCTCCATTTTTCCGTTGTGATGATATGTGCCCAGATGTGTCCTCGTAAGTTTAAATGTTAAGAGGCTAATGTTTGCTTATATCAAACGGGTTTAACAAAATCGATCCATTCTGAGTTCGGTGATTTATCGAAAATGTCTAGAAATGGTTAAACCTTACTAAACAGTGTTAATGTCGAGGGCAATATATCTGTACAGATACATGTAATTATCTGCTGCAAGAGCGAGTTGTGATTTTCTCTTGATCAATCAAAGACATTGATTGGTCACAATCAAGAAAATGATTTAAGTTTTTTAAAAATATATATTTCAAAAATCATATTTCAAGATAAAAGATGTGTAAATAAGGAATAACAATTCTTTTGGTTACACTAATAAAGAAACTTCAAAGCTTGATGGTTTTCTTTCCCTCATAACAAGCTATAATTATAATACGTATTTCAAAAATGAATACTTCTCACAAATTAGCTATTTGGGTTTTGAAAAGAATGAGGAATATTTGAAGGAAATTAATGTAAACTTTAAATTCTGCAAAATAACATGCAAATAGTTATTTATAACAAAAAAAAAAAAAAAACTACGTAAGTAGCATAACCCCATAAGGTAAGTTGTACACGGTGAATATGCTAAAAATAACATGTGGTCATTGTGTGTACATTATATTAGGAGATTGAGGACAGTGATAACTCAAGATCGGTGACCGCTACACAATGGATGTGCTGGGTGTTGTGGACATCAACGCTTGGATTTTACTTATTGTTTTTGCATTGATTGCTATTTACATGTAAGTACAATATAAGTTAATGCAATATTTACTTTGCTTATATCAGATTAACCTGCACATTGAATCATAGGCAACTGTCAGGCAAGTGAACTTGCATAGTGTGACTGAATCCACCTGTAAGATAATCTCTTATTCTTATTTTCCGTCATGATTGTATCTACTAGTATTTTGATTATTCGTCTTATTCAATGCAGATGATTACCTGTCTGTATTTATCTGCACATATTGCACTGTAGGCGGATCCAACCGTGTACGTCGTCTTTCAGTTAATATGTAACGACAAGGAAAAAGAAAATACGTACCTGACTGATGATTTGGGGAGGGGGCGGTTTGAATATATTAGTTATAGATCGCTGCATATTCTCTATTTTGTCGGCTATGTACAGCGGGAAAACTAGTCGGTTTAGGGAAGTTGCAGAGCTTCAATACGCCCCATGTATATGCGTTGTAATATAGCACAATTATATATTTTTGTTCTCCACAATATCAATTTTAGGTAGATCGGACACCTCTTTTAGCTAAACACAGTGAACGTGTTAAAAAGAAACATATGTATGCTGATAACTAGATGTAGTTTGGTACGTAAAAAGCAAGAAAAGGTTTATTTTTTTTTATCACCTTGTTTGTAGCATTGTGCTCAGATCCTTCTGCATGTAATTTAATTAAATGACTAAAAGGTATTTTTGAAAAGGTAACATTCAATCCCGAAAAGGAATTTTCAAGTTTGAACAATTTTCTCCGTTTTAGTTTGTTTATCTTTGATTACTAGTATCTTTTTATTATATTTTTTGGAAGTTGTCAATTACTCCAAATCAAAAGCAATGATTGTATTTGAAATTCAATACTTTTCTTCTGCAAATAGGTGTGTCAAATTTCATTCTGATCTGAATCGTGGTTTTAAAAATATTGAGATAGTAAGTATTTTAATTAAATGCTAAAAGGGTTGGCACTCAAAACAATGATATTTGCCTTCTGCAAATTAAGTGCTGAAAGGGTTGGCACTCAAAACAAGTTAACAATTGCGTTCCCATAATAATTATGTCATATTTAAGGGATTTCTGTGAAGTTGCCCCAATAATGATTGATTGTTTTGTTTCAAAATGAAATTCTTTAGGTACCCTCCCTCTCCTACATGTATAAAATGCTATTCAAGACCAGCTGGTTCACAGAGAATTTAGAATATTTAATAGAACACCAACACCACTCCATTCTCCAAGCCAATTTAAATTTGCTGAAATTTATTTTAAAAAGCTGATAATTTTAATGATGGTTCTAGATACGTGAAATGGAAGTTTGGATTATGGCGTCGTCTTGGTGTCCCGGGTCCTGATCATCTCCCATACATTGGAGCAGTAAAAGAAATTAAAGAGCTGGTAAGAAAAATATTCATAAAGAAAGTTTTCATGTCATGCATAATTAATTTACTGCATTGTTAAATCAAAAACAACCATATGTTCTTATAACTATTGTTTTATTTATTATAATTATTATTATTATTATTTTTTTTTTTTTTTTTTTTTTTTTTTGCTTTTCCTGACTTTTGTTTAAAATGCTCGGCCCTTTCATCCATTTTACTCCTTGGAATAACCAGGGAATATGGAATACTTTAAACTGTTATCTTATCTTCGACTGGTGCACCGGAATAATTAAATTCGATCAATCTATGGAACACGTATTTATATGCCTATGCCCACTGGCCAGAATAAAGGTTATGCACGTATCAGTCACGCTGTAGTTCATAGAGACTAATAATTAAGATCATGCATATACTGGGTTCGAATTAAATTCAATTCCAACTTTTAAAGCGACAGTACAGCTGCAAATCGCGTGCTTTTTCATTCAAATTTATCCAATATATCATTTAGGAATAAGATATAAATTTGAAGTCAGCAGTTTGAGAAACATAAATACTCTCTCCTCATATATAGTTAATGTACATGTAATTAGAACATGTAGAATCTGCAGGAAAATCAATTAGGATAATTAGGTATAGAACGTGAATTCTAAAATGACACGTGCCTTCACTGTAAGATTTATAATTATAATGGAATATGAGCGGAATTTTTTGTGGATGCGCCGTCCTGTCACTTTAAATAACTGACACAGTTCTTGCAAATGGTATTATCTTATAAATCTAAGATGTATAATACATGTAGTACGTATATTAATAAAACAAAATAACATTACGATAAATGGATTTATATCATTTAAATTTTTATAAAATACAACTGCAAGATGTATACTTTTAGGGAATGCATGGATTTGACGAAAAGATGATCCAATCCTATGGAAGCATTGTCGGGTAAGACTACATTTTTTACATCTTTATTTTACATTTTACATGTATTTTTTGTACAAAATAAAATAAAGCAATTCAATACAACTAATGACTTCTAAAAAATTGAAAGCGTTTACTAGTCTATTTTCAAGGTTTTTTAAAGATTTTTTTTTAAATTAAACATTGAAAACCTTTGAATTGTAGTCTCTACTTAGGATCTATTCCTTCTCTACTGATAGCAGACCCCGAGATAATCAAGAAAATAACAACTAAAGACTTCTCAAAGGCTCCAAACAGATTGGTAAATATCAACAAAATTAATAATTTTCACTTTGTGTTATCTGGTGCATTTCATGTACAAACGGACCAGATTGTACAGTAGTAAGAATTTATGACAATCAAGTATTCGTTTGCATTTATTTTATGAGATAAAAATTAAAACGTATAATTTAAAATGCAATAACAAATTTTCAATTATATCTGACGGTAAAACATGTAAAAATTATTGAAAACTTTAATCCTTTTTTTCCTTGCGTTTAATGGTAAAGGATTTTGCATAGACTAAAACTTGATTTAAAGTAGTCGGTAGTAAAATGTAAAAAGATATCATTTCACTATTGCGTCTCTTTTTTTTTCCTATGTCACCCACACAAATTATGTACAGTATGAATAGTCGTTAAGCTTCCCCTAAATTTTATTCGTGACTCTCTTTGTACAAAGAGCATTGGGACGGAATTTTGGGAAGGGTACCTATCTAAACTCTGAATTGTCTTTGCGACATTTTTTGACACAGTACAGAATCTGTCGATAAACTGGGTCGCAAAACAATGGGGTTTTTTTTAACCATGAATCTTTTTTGGACAATACATAATGCACAAAACAAATTTAATTGGCAGAATGTTGTTCGAAACAAAAGTGAACTCAAACATGGCTTGTCTGCTGTTGAAGATGACCACTGGAGATTTATGAGAAACACACTTTTACCAACATTTTCAAGTGGGAAAATGAGAAAGGTACTTTTTAACGTTACCCAAAAAATAAAGGTGTAACACTGTAATTATTTATCGTTGCTCCCAGAAGACTGTCACAGTTGAAGGACAGTTCAAATTTGAAAAACCAATCAATGTATAAGCGTATTGTACATGTTTATATATATTTTACGTAGATTTTTTTAGCTCACCTCAACGATGTGTGTGTGGGGGGAAGGGGGGGGGGCTAAAGTAATACCATCAGCGTCAGCGTCCCAGGATGAAGTGGCTACCGTCAGCGTTCTGTGCAATGAATGGGTTAAAGTTTTACACTTGAATAAATTGATGGTTTATACATAGACATTTTTAATAGTTGTAGAAAATAATATAATTATTACAGATGAATCCCATTCTGAGAAAGAAATATCAGTTATTGCTGGAAGGTCTTAAAAAAGAGGCGGATGAAGGAAAGACCATAGAATTTAAAGAGTAGGTAGCAGTTAAATAGTGTAGTCAACGCTTAAAATAAAAAAAAGATTCACATCTATATGTGTTTTGTGAAGTTGTATAAAAACTGTACAATTTATCGTATTAAATGAAACATATGGAGATAACGAACAGTATTCAAGATCACAAATCCAAGTCCAGATAAAAAACAATACAAAATAGTAGCAGAGCAAACACGGACCTCCAAACCATCAAAGGTGGGATCAGGTGTCATGGAGGAGTCACACCCGCCGTGTACTTCTTGTCATTATCGGGAAATGACGGAAAAATCCGTCGTCAATTCAGTGTATAAATAACAGCCTAACAATAAGTATTTAAAACGTCAGTCACCATTTGACTCAATGACAAACTGTATTTGCTGACAAGGTCATTGTATAGACCATAGAACTTGATGATGAAAATGATGACTTTAAACGAGATTGCTGATATTCTTGTTTCATCAACTTGTTTGTCAATAATTTACCTCGTTTTAGAAATTGTTCATGCGTAGAGCATGCTCCTGCGAATTGAATCAACTTAGATATATAAACTCCGTATGCAGGTGATGAAGGTATATTGCTGCACAAGTAAGGGAAGTCGATGATAGAAAAGTTAGAGTCAGCACGTTTATCAGAGTTTGCGTGTTAGATTACCATTAACGTTTTTTCAAGTTAAATATCCAAATATGAAACAGATGTGTCAGACTCGATAGTTTCTTTTATCTTAAGCTCACCGAGATACATGTATATACAATGTATATCGTATCGAAATAAGAATGGAAATTACCGTTGTTAATTGACTATACGTCGTCGAGTTGAAGGCCACATTAAGTGTTTTCTTCTTTCACGCACAAATTCTGCTTCATATGAATACAAAAATAGGTCTGCTAATAACGGGACACAATTGGTACCCATGGGAATTGCAATAGATTGTTAGAAGACCTGGTCGCCAAAAACAACATAGATAATGTCAATCAGAAACTCAAGCATCTTTTTATGTCAACTTCAGAGTACTTGTGTGTACAATCAGATTGTATTGTAAAATTCAAATGTATCTTCAGCTTTAACTGAATGTATTTACAGAATATTTGGAAGGTACACGATGGACGTTATAGCTGCACTCGGATTCGGAATGGACATAGACTCGCAGACAAACCCAGATAATAAATTTGTGAAATATGCCAAAGAGCTGTTCAACAACAAGTTATCGTTGCGTTTTTTTCTGATTTGTATGTATGCTAGTTTTTTTTCTTTGGTTGCAACTTTCTTATTTGCGACTTATGTATTATTATGCTATTATATTTGTGAATTTAATTGTGAAAGGGGTTCCTCCGAAGGGAATTCAGTTATTAATATAGTTTAAATAGCGGACGGTGGAATATCGGTGGGGCGGGTGCCAGAATACATACTGTAGATGTGTCCTGATATTTCATCCAATAGTTTACAAGATATATATAAACTTCTTATTTTGCAAACTATCTGTACATTTATTAAAGTAATTTAACTGATTTTTTTTCTCTCTGAAATATTGTACATGTATCCTGGGTAAATCCTTTTTCTGAATAACTCCTTCAACGGGTTTAAGCTATAATTCTTTTTGAGTATCAATTGTTCATACATCCGAGATGTGCATAGTACATGTACTTGGATTTTGAATTTTTAATAGTTTTCTAAGAAATTACCCGTTGTTGAACTAAGTTATTATCGTAAACAATATTTTTGAAGGATACATCATTTGAACGGATAACTCTTCGAAAAAAAAACCAAGATTTACAGATCAATAATGCACATAAAAGAGATGTGAATATTACCTGGATTTTATTTTTGCGCAAATAAATACTAGTGTTATTCAATTTTTAACTTAAATAACTCCGATATACGTATACATGACTTGGTGCGTTTCAACGTAAATTAAAAAAAAATAAGATTAGATATTGTGGAGTATCATATTTCAGTCGGAAGTGTATATTAAATATTTTTTTTTTCTTCTAATTTTCAGTTGTTTTGCCATTTGCTGAACGTATATTGGACTACTTTGAGTTATCACCGTTAAATAATCGAAGAGTGATGAACTTTTTTAAATCGGCTGTACATCAGGCAGTTAAAATGCGAGATGAAGGAGATCAGGTATTTGGCACCAACTGAATAACTTTTTACAATTAAAACCCTACCGTCTCTGCCGGCAGATTTGGATGAAATACTGAAACCAACACACGTGTAACGGTGTATACATTCAGACAATTCTTTTTACCACAAATTATTTTTCAAAATCTGTCAAAAACGTATTTTATACTCTGCAACCTACTGTTCAAAATTGCTTTATATTTATATTCCCACCTCCCGCATGAAAAGCTAGTTGTATATTGATACCGTCTGTTACACGCCCCTCCATCTGCAATGTTTAAGGGTATCGTCTTATCCACGACTTCTCATTTCCCACCGAATAAAAGTTTCTAAGAAATTGAATTCAAAGAATCATTGTTTTGTAGTGCCTATCGTTCAACTTTATGAACGTTTTGGATCAGACAGTAATTTGACATTCCCTTAGCTAAATACAATCACATTTTAAACCAAGGTTTAAGAACTGAGAAAAGTAAGTTTCTCATTTTTTATATTTCTTAGAAATGTCCCCATATATGAATTCAAAGAAATGAAACCATGCAAATAAACACACACATTTGAAGCTCTATTTGCATCAAAGTTGAGGATAAGTTAAGAGTGTCAACATTTTAAAATCTCACACGTGACACAGATGGTGTACATGTCCTGAAGATATCATAACCTAAAAAACTTTGTTCAGTTGAAGAAAAAAAGGTTGAAAATGGCAAAAACTAGGTCTTTTTTGTACAATATAAATGCTTTGTATCGAATAATGATTGCTTTCATAGTATTTTACATGATTTCATTGTAGTTCGTTACTACATCGATCTATAGGTTGAAAAGAGTACTACAAGTGTTTCTATAACAGAAAGTAAATTTCAATTATTTTTCTGTGATATAGAATAGAACAGATCTGCTACAGTTAATGTTGAATGCTCATAAAGACACCGAAAAGAATGAAATAGAGAGTGAACACAGCTATGAAGAGGATCCTAACAAATGGAAAAAGCGAGGTCATTTGTAACATTTCTATCTTTCTCTCTCCTTATCTTAATAACTTTAAAAGACGTGGAATTTAAAACGAACAAATGAGCATGCAAAGTGTACGTTCTAATCTGCCTTTTTATACCAGGTTTGACTGAAGATGAAGTGACCGGGAATGCTCTTCTATTCATACTTGCTGGGTTTGATACAACGGCGAGCAGCTTGACTTTTATGGCATACTGTCTGGCAACGAACCCAGATTGCCAAGAAAAACTCATTGAGGAAATCGATTCAACTTTAGGAAAGGTGAAATTGAAATTGTATCTTTTGGGGGATTAAATTCTATTTTCATCATCAATAACATTTTCTCAAGGAAAAGAAAAAAAAAACTTTCAGAAAATTATAAAACACAAATTATTCCTCACGGTAGTCACCAATAAAGTTGCATCACTGTGTCCAGAAAATGTTATATCAAGCCATTTTCTTGATTCCTTACGAAAAAATTAACTGCCGTATTGGAGAAACATCAGACGTACTGTGGTACACCATATTCTCGAAGTGATGTAAAATAGTTATGGACCTAAGAAAACTAGATATAGAAGCAACCTCTGATAGTGTAGATTCAAGTTTGTTCAAACCATACCCCCTCCCCCTTACCCCTTCTGCCTTTTAGGGGTAGGTTTGGACCACTCGTACATTTAAGCTTTTTAATACTAAACTGATTTTTGCTTTTTTCCTTACAACAGACTCAGATGAGCGATGTGGCCTCTAGGCTTCTTGTTGGAAATCCGATATACACTAATTGTGCTCCCTTATTAATTTTCCGACCTGTTGTTTAACGTCCCTCTGGAGAGTTTTTTACTTGCCGGTGGAGGGCTACAAATTTTGTCCTATACTCGGCACTTAGGGCCATTGAGCAGTGAGGGATCTTTTTCGTGCCAGCACCTACTGCGTCACGGGTCCTCGGTTTATGCGGTCTTATCCGAAGGACCGGTCTCCACGTCCCACAGTCCCTTCCTTTGAAGTAGATTTTATTTTTAAAAATGTGTACGTGAAAATGGATATATTTGACATTCAGAAATATCGACAATGTTTCATAAATCAACAGTTAGAGAGTTATTTTCATTTATATATCGACTTCATATACTCCAGTGAACTTGAAACAAATGACACCACAGAGTCTGTAACATCCAATTCATTGGATGTATTTAATTAACTAAAGACAATAAAGGCAATTAACAACTTAACTGTATGACTAATGAAATAATATTCACCTTTTTTATAGTCATCTTTCCTATTAATGTAGTAATATTCCAATATCAGTCATTTATGGTATTGCTCAGAGTACGGTCAATTTTTATTGTAAGTCATGCTTCTTGCTGAAAAAGTTGATGTTACAAGGATTAAAGTGGGATGTATGAACTTCTGTGGTGGGTATATAATGACCTTGCTAGCAAATATAACCTACAAATGGGTCGTGTAATGACCTGCAAGTAGTTCGACGTGTGTTTTTATACTGAATTTAACTACAGAAAAGTTCGTCTAACTGACCGGCTTATGTCGGGTACCGGTGTGCTCAGTAAACAGGGAATGCTTACTCCTTCTATGCACATTATATCAACTCTGGAATTACAAGGGGCCCGTGTTTTTATGTTACGTGTGTTCACAAATTTGTATTGTTGTAGATATTTTTGAGATCGATCATTGTTTATTTTTTTAACTTTTTATAATATTGAAAAAATATAAGTAACATGATAATTATCAACATTTCTAGGAGATACCAACTTATGACAATGTACAGAAGATTGACTACATGGAGTGGGTTTTCAATGAGACACTTAGACTCTATCCGCCAGCTGTAAGGTACTTTATCCACCCCATCCCACCTACACCCGCACCCTCAAACCAAAAAATACAAACTATAATCATGTTTTTTTTGCACATGTCTTTTGTTAAATTGACAATTTAAAATTGCTTTTTTAAAATCTAAAATACGAATGATATTTTTCATATTAAAGACGTTCGATCCTGATATTTAAGGTCTTAAACTTTTTTTGCCAAGTATATTTTTAGTTTCTACATACATAGCTTAATTAAAATTCAAATCAAAATATGGAGGTCATGCTTCTTTTGGCGCTACAGTATATTTAATATGACCTTTTTGCAATGAAATTTGTGTCTTAATAAAAAATTACATCTTCAACGTTTTCCCTGCAATATTTTTATCCAATTAAAGCACGAAACAAAATGAACTCTAAGTCTGTTTAAAAAAATACACTTTAAAATTGTGACTAAGAAAAAGTTTCAAATTGCTTCGCACAATCAATTATTTTACCTTTCTGCACTAATAAAGTGTGATTTTTCTGGCATTGAAAATTTAATAAGCAGGAAAATTATTCTAAAGTCTAAAATTTTTTCTGATTTTAATCAAATAGGTCAAAGTTATCTTGAATATTTAGAAAAGAAACAACAAAAGTGGGGTATATGATGTAAATTTTCAGATATTACTAAAAAAATTGTCAATTTTACGTCAAAATTCGCTAAATTTTTTCCCGGATTTTCAGAATATATATACTATATTTGTCACACTATGTCGATAGAATTCATAAGAAATAATTCATTAGATATTTCAGAACCAGCATAACACATTTCACTGCAAAAAAGAGCTTTGTGTGCAACCAGCATGGAAAAATAGGAATCCACAATAAACGGTACTGGTATAGTGCCAAAGGGGAAAAACTGATCATTTTCGTCTAAAAAACCTTCCGCCACAAAATATAGTCCCTAGTTTATTTCTACTTGAATATAATTTAATCGCTGTTTTTTCATTGAATATAGTTCATTGTGCATTGTAGAATTCAGATTTAATGTTAGAACTTAAAAATGATGCAGAATTTCATAAATAAAGGACATGCCCAAAATCCACTCAAAAGCTCAGGATCGAACGTCCTTGATCAATCAACTAATATCTTAAAGCAATCCTGAACCTTTTTTTTTAAATTACCAAAGCAAGTTTAAGTATTTCTCCATATTGCAAAGTCACGGGAAACCAAAACAAAAATTACATAAAGTTGAGGATTATACTTGACTTTCTGTATCAAAAATATCTCTTTGGATTTCAACAGCATCTATACCCGCCGAAATATGGCTGAAATATTGCCAATTCTGCGAACACCAAGCACTCAACAGCATCTGTCGCTTGCTAAGACACGCCATTGGGTTTTATATCTAACTCTTTGTTTCAAGAGTGTTTGATATCCTAGATAATTTTGATTTTAGAACAGATCGGGTGAGCAAAGTTGAGATGGATATAGGCGGATACAAGATTCCAAAGGGCGTTGATATGTCTTTTGCTATTTATTCACTACAGAGAGATCCTAAATACTGGCCAGAACCTGACAAATTTGATCCAGAAAGGTATATTTCCATAACTATAACTACGTGTACCTTTATGTATTTATCCAGGAAACATTTTACTTAATATAAATATTTATCAGCTACCTTTATATAAAAATAGTCGCCCGCGTTGAGCGTCTGTTCTGGGGTTATTGAGTAAGGGTGATCCTTACGTCATGGATTCATATCCCACTTCAAGACGTGGAGACCGGTCCTTCGAATGAGACCGTATAGAAAGAATCAGTGTCGCAATAGGAATTGGCATGAAAAAGATTCCTCACTGCTTAATGGCCCTGAATACCGAGCACTGGTCAAAATAAGCAACTTTTCATCGGCAAGTGATGGAGTCTATGCAAGTGAAAAATTCTGAAGAGGGGCGTTAAACAAGAAACAAACAAACAAATGCATACAAGAGAAATAAGATCAAATTGAAACAGCTATTGATTCATAAATTAATATTTTTCAATGATGATTTGGTTTGTGCGAGAAATAATTCTTCCAATTTTTCAGGTTTTCTCCTGAAAACAAGGCTGAGCGTCACCCATACGCCTTCCTTCCATTTGGCCATGGACCTAGAAACTGTATAGGGCAACGCCTAGCTGCCATGGAAGCTAAATGTGCCATTATCTACATACTGCAGCATTATCGTTTTGTTACTTGTAGTGAAACAGAGGTATAACTTACATGTATATGCCACATTGATATACATGTATTGAATTCAATTGCCCAAAACTTTATCAGAACCTTTCACAATTGTATAATTTATCGTTGAAAAAAAAAATTAATTCTGAGCTTTTCATGCCCCCGTAAACGAAGTTTCGGCGGTATATAATATTTGTCGTGTCCGTCCGTCTGTCTAGCTGTCTGTTTGTCCGCAAAAACTTTAACCTTGCCCATAACTTTTGATTTAGTGGAGCTATGACTTTCATATTTCACATGTGTATTTCTTGTGACAAAACCTTTCATTGGGTAACACCAAATTTGACCTTTTTACCTTGACCTTGGCGTTTGACCAACTTTTACACAAAAATTCCAAACTTTACTTTGGCCATATCTTTTGAATAGTAAAAACCAGGACTTTTATACTTCATATTTGTATTTTTTGTGGCAAGAACTTTCATTGAGTATCAACAACTTTGACCTTTTGAACTTGACCTTAGAGATTTCTGCACTTATGAAAAAACTTTAACCTTGACCATAACATTTGAACGGTAAGGACTAGGGCTTTTATACTTCACATATGTAATCCTTGTGGAAAGACGCTTCATTTGATACCAAGAAGTTTGACTCTTTAACTTTTGCCTTGGAGTTTGACCTACTTTTAAAATACTAGTACAACCTTGACCATAATTTTTCGAGAGTTAAGACTAGGGCCTTTATACTTCACATATGCAATCCTTTTGGAAAGACCTTTCATTTGATATCAAGAACCTTGACCCTTTGACCTTGACCTTGGAGTTTGACCCATTTTTACACAAAAATCCAAACTTTTACTTTGGCCCTAATTTTTAAACGGTAGAACTAAGACTTTCATGTTTCAAATATCAATTCCTTGTGGCAACACCTTTCATTTGAAACCAAAATTTTGACCTTTTGACCTTGACCTTGGAGATTTTTGTACTTACGAAAAAACTTTAACCTTGGTCATAACTTTTGAACGGTAAGGGCTAGGGCTTTCATACTTCACAATATAATACTTGTGAGAAGACCTTTCATTGGATATCAACAACTAAGACCCTCTGACCTTGACCTTGGAGTTTGACCTACTTTTTACAAACTTTAATCTTGGCCATGACTTTTGAACGGTAAGGACCAGCGCTTTCATACTTCCGATATGTAATCTTTCAGACAAGGTCTTTCTTTAGAAACCAACAATCTAGACCCTTTGACCTTGACTCAGGGGTTGTCTCACCTTTAAAAACGTTAAGCCTGGTCATAAATTTTAAACAGATGGTGCTAGGGTTTCATATTTCACATTTTTATTTCTTGTGAAAAGGCCTTACTTTAGGTACCAACGTATTTGAGAAATGCATTTGAGAAAGCTTAACTTTCGCTATGTTGCCATACGGGGGCATCAGTGTTTCACAAACACATCTTGTTTCTTTTAGATTCCCGTGAAGCTAGACACTTCGGCTTTATTAAAACCTCGAAATGGGATCAAGTTAAAATTAGAAGAAAGACCAAAGGACTCTTAGATGGATGGTGAACTGTGAATAAATCTTTACTTTGAATATATGTTAACTTAGATATATAGATGTATCAGTGGTAAATGTTTAGAATATGTATTGTTATAAAAATTTCCTTGAATACAGTGATATACATGTAGAAAGAATCACGAAAGAAAATTCCAAAATGGGTTTTTGAAAATAAATATGTGAAGTAATGCATTGTGGGTGTGTATACATGTATGTCTGTGTATTTCCCATTAAAATTTTAAGTTATTCAAACCAAATTTCAGTACAAGATCTAAAATTATTGTACCTAGAGCTCGATCCTTTTACCTTGAAATTGATCTCACATGTGTTTAGAAAATCACATACTGTGCTTTACAACCTGGCCTTGAACATAATCTTTGGCCTTCTAAGAACATACTATTGTAAGTAGCTATATAAGCAACTGTAATACATGTTTAGAAGCCTTTAAGTTAAGATGTTTTTGTTTTAAGAGACGAAATGTATGTTTAAAGACTGCTGATAAAACTGATTCAGATAGGGGTTTCAATTCCTACCCTATGAATTATGAATACAATTGACCTTTGATCTACTTTCAAATCCTCAATTTACATTACATAATTGTTACCACCGTAGGTTTTGACTATTAGCATGCATGCCAATAATCATTAGTTATTATCAAAGAAAATGTCAATACAAGAAATAAACATCTAGAAACTTTAATTTCTTTTTTTTTTTTTGTCTGTTATTTAAAAAAAAATGATTGTATCTTGTACTGTTTTTGTATACACTAGATTTACTCTGTTCTCCTAATTATTTTAAATGATTGAAGGACAAATTTTCGAAGAAAGAAGATGAGGGGGGGGGGGGGAATAAGGCGGACGAAGTGCCTGTAGTGCGAAATATGAAGTGAAAAATTAAATATCAATTATATCCAAAGTTTCTTTGATATTTTATCTAACATTAAAGTATACTTAATGTAAAATCTCAACAATTTACAAAAATCTCACAAAGTCTGAAATTATTTCCCTATGTAAAAGCATACACACACTAAATAGGAAAAAAAGGATCATTTTCTCATACTTAAACAACTTTCTTTCAATATGAGAGGGTCTTCGCTCCATTTTTAAAAAAGATAATCCTAAAAGTGTACAATAAAATACAGATATGTACATTTTCTGGTTAACAAAAACATGGAGCAAAGACTTGAAATGCCCAAATACATCATGAGCCATATAGCGTAGTGGTTAGCGCGTTGGTCTCAAAGCAGTATGATACTCCGTATTTTTATTGCTACAGTTCGAATCCCACAAATACCATCTTATAATTTAATAAAAGAATAATTTTTTTCCAGATTTCTTTCTCTCGGAAAAGGTTTATTTCTCATAATTTTATAAATTTCAATAATGAGAACTTAATTTAAATACTAAATTTACAAACTGAATATGATTTCTTAATATCTAAAGCTATTCTGCACGCCTTGTTCCCCATCTTCCTATTAATAAGCAAATCCATACTTGGATTCAACGGTACGCCCCTACATGTAGGGAAATACAAAAACAAAAAAACAAAACGAACCGACCCGTTGCTCATAATCATTAGAAAAACTGTCTTGCATTCCACTATATTTTTAAAAAGGTTAGCATCCGGTATTTCCTATAAATTTTCATTCTCTGTTTTCTCTATGTCTTGGATGTAGCAGTAACTGTACTAACAGTGTGATTATGGGACATTTTATTTCATGAAAAATATTTTTGTACGATGTCTACAGTATATCTTTCAAAATGCTGTCCAGGGTGCACCAGGCATTGTGGTTTTTTATTGTTCTAACCTTTCTCGCGCCAAATGGCGATAGTGATATACATGATTTTAAAAAAAAAATAATGAAATAAAAAGGTTGTGCTGGTGCTAAAAAGTTGCCAATCAGTTCCTATGTAAGGAAAAACTTTGCATTATATAAACCTAAAACCATTGTAATTTTTTCATAAAGTACATTTGCCTGATTTTCTTTTCTATTCGAAGTGATTTTTTTTTTTCTATCTATGGGATTTAAAAAAATATTTAGAAATTATAGTCTCAATTTTCACATTATTAGTCAATTTTAAAAAAATTAAAATCTACTTGACTTATATTGACATGTTTTATAAGATATCGATATTATGCGTATATTTAACAGTAAATTTTAAGCTTTAAATCATTCTTTTTCCCGCTAACAATGCTCTTTTGTACGAAAGCCGATAGGCTCATTTTTTTGTCAAGATAAAAAAGTATTTAATTCGTTATAACGAGATGAATAATCACACGAAGGTTAAGCGAGGTGAGGCGAATGAGTAGAAAAGAGTTGCAGTCTTTCTCTCTGTTTAATGTAGTCGAAAACGATATATTTAAAAACGGCTTATAGAGACAAAAGGGTTATATTATCGATGCCAAGTAGTGCATATTAGACTACCAAAATAGGAAAAATGTATGTCGACCCCAGATTTAATAGTCAAGGAAAAAAAAATAAAATGGGAATGGGGGGGGGGGGGGGAGGGGAGCCCCCAAGTGCACGTGATCAAATACAATCCAGCTACCTATAAGCCAGACTTTAACGTTTCATGCAAATTGTTACGCCATCATTTTCACACTGGTTCTTTTCTCCTTATTTTATTTCCGTTCACAATAGAATTATACAATAGGTTCGACTAGTTGACAGGGGATACCATCTTCTCTATGACAACTGATCCATACAGCATAAATGTATAGAGAATAATACATACCCTTTTCCATATCACATCCTGTATCAGTCCTGTATCAGCCCGAGACACCAATATCAGCCAGAGGGCCGAAGGCCCGAGGGCTGATATTGGTCGAGGGCTGATACAGGATGTGATGTGGAAAAGGGTATGTATTAATATTTTTATTACATACTTAGTAATAAAATACAGCATGCATTAAGTTGAGAAAATAAGTAAATAATCATGCATTGACTTCTTACATACATGTACATGGTCTATTGTCTCATACGATTTGGGTTTGTTTCTACTTCTATTTCAATGCACTCGATCCGTAATTTGAAAATAATCTATTACATGTATTTGTAAATTAAGATTAACCTTATTTTCAAAGAGTTAAAATCAAAAGAATATGAACCCACCAAAAATTGTGTATGATCACAAGTACTGTTTTTGTGGTTTAATTTACTAAGGTGTGATATTGACGTCACAATAGCCGTATCAGCCCTGCAGGGCTGATATGGATTTGCAGGGCTGATATATGTTATCAGCCCAGCCAATCCATATCAGCCCTGCAGGGCTGATACGGCTATTGTGACGTCAGCCATATCGCATATGCAAAAAACCTGTATTTATTACTAAATGTGTAATAAATGATAATAATATATTCTATAACTTAAAACAAGTGAACATAAAATGCAGAATTTGATGTTATTATACCTCATTATAAATATTCTACACAACGCGTTATCTGATTGGTTCTAGGTTATCACGTGATCGGGCCGTAAAACTTCATATTTCCCGGCCGTCGGCACGCTTTTCATCATATTCCACCTCTTCGGAACACCTAGTGTATTTTCCCGCAATATAGTTCTCGTTCGTTGAGCGAAAACTCCCGAGAGTAGTAGACGTCAGAATAGCCTGCATGGTTTACGTCACAAAATTGATGATAATGTGTTGAACAAAGGGCTTTATAGTAACTTTACGTAAAAAATGAAAGTGAATTTGAGAGCGGTGCCGAATTTGAAAGTTTATGTTTACTTCAAAGGTTTTGCTTGTTTCGGTATAATAAACAATTTATTGCATAATAGTGAGGGAAATATGAAGACTTATTCAGCCAAGAAATATCATATTCCCCTCGGGCGAAGCCCTCGGGGAATATGATTTTTCTTGGCTGAATAAGTCTTCATATTTCCCTCACTATCATGCAATAAATGTATAATATCCACAGAATTTGCTTTTGAATTCGTCCGTTAATTACGAGCATTTGTATGTTATATTTGTGGTAGGGTAAAAAAGACATACAACTCCTGTTTTCTTTTCCATTAAGTATCAAACCATCCTTTAAAAAACAAACAAAAAATGAAGTAAAGAAAAAGTTCAAATATCGCTTAAGAAAACCTGGTTATGTCAATAAAGTAAGAGCTTCACTATGTAAACAATACTTCAACTTTCTAAACAAATATACCGGCCACGTATGGATTTTTATTGTTTGTTTGTTTTTTTGTTTTTTTTGGGGGGGGGGGGGGGACACAAGTATGCTTATTTACAGCTTTCCATTTTTTCGTCAGTATATTGCTATACATACGTATTATAGTGATTGAAATACACTACATCTGATTTATTTAGATTGCTTTCACGGTATACCTGTTATCCAAATACAACATCCTAGCTGAATCGGATTTGATATAAAATGTGTCACAAGACCTTTTAGGTGGGCATTTTCTGTTGTGACGATACATGTATATACCAAAATGTGTCCTCGTAAATATTAAAATGATAAGCGGCTTATGTATGAAGAAAATGTATGCTAATATATATTAACCGGGTATAACGAAATCGATTCAGTCTGAGTTTAACTGGCGATTTATTGAAACGTGGTCTCTTTAATTGATTATCCCTGACAAACTTCGTAAAAATTGCTGGCAATGTCTGTACCAGATAATAATTGGCTAAAATAGCGATTCAATCAAGGATATCGCAGACATTGATCGGTCACAATCAGGAAGATAGGAGGAATTGCATTGCTGAACGGCGTTTTCAACTCATGCGAATGAAGGTTGTCAAATATGACAGAAATCATCGTTTAAGATGAAAAATGTCTATACATATCTATTATTCAGAGCATGATCTTTATTTTCTGAGCGCAATAATAATTTTGATAGAAATATTGTAAATTGAGACTATTTTTAAAGACAAAAATACCCCAAATAGCTTTTTTGCTCACACAAGAAAAAAAAATTCAAAAGTCTGCATTTTTTTCGCTCATAAAAAGCTTATATCGATGCTTTTTAAAAATAAATGCTGCTCACAGATACTTGAATGAATTTAGCGACTTAGATTTTGAAAACATTAAATCTATTTAGATGAGGTTATTTTGAAATTTAAACCTTGTAAAGTAAAGTTATTGTTAATTTTTTTTATAATGGACTTTGTTACATAGCATAGCCCCGTAAGTTTAGTTGTACACCATGAATATGCTAAAAATAAACATGTGGTCACTTTGTGTGTACATAGAAAAGTGACCGCTAAACAATGGATGTGCTGGGTGTTGTGGACATCAACGCCTGGATTTTACTTATTGTTTTTGCATTGATTGCTGTTTACATGTAAGTACAGTATAAGTTAATGCAATATTTACTTTGCTTATATCAGATAATTTAACCTGCATATTGAACCCACGTTGATTCAACACTGGCACAAAAGTGAACTTGCATAGTGTACGATGGAAACATTGAATCTACCTGTAATATAACGTCTTACTTTTTAATTTTTGGTCATGGATGCATTTGTTTGAAATATTTAGCTGATTCACTATTCATTGCTATGGATAATGTCTGCATTAATCTGCATTTTTATACACAGAATCTAAAATTGTGGGCAAGGGCTTGGTATGGAACGCCATAGATGCCTTATGTCGTTATTTAAATGATGGTTGAGCTGTTAAGCTGATGCAGAAAAAAGTAATATTCTGCGTAAACGTAATTACATTCTTGAAGAGGTAACATTCATTCCAGAAATGGGATTTAAATGTCCCATGCCAGTCTTTATCTTATTTGATTTCTGCATAAAGATTAACTGAGATCCTGTTTAATGTTTGTTTTCTAGATACATAAGATGGAAATTTGGAATTTGGCGTCGTCTTGGAGTCCCTGGTCCTAATCATTTTCCATACATTGGAGGAATTAATGAAATGAAAGAATTAGTAAGAAAAAATACTTTAATAAAAACGTTTTTAAAAATATAATTTGAAAATGTTTTGCATTTCTAATAAAATTATAAAAGCCACTCATTTATCACCCCTTTTTTCTTATATTGCCCATATGTATAATAGTGTCTTTTATTCATTTTCAATCTGAAGTTGAAAATGATTCAATGACAAATTAACTTCAGATTGAAAATTAATAAAAGGCAATATGTTCGGCCTTTTTAATTAATTATTCCATGGAATACCATAAACCACTTTCGTATTTTGACCGAATAAATTCAAACCATGGTATTTCGATATCCATGCTACTTACCCGAATAAGTCAACGCTGAGAAACATGTATATTGATGTCCATAATGAAAATAATTGATATAATTCTCCCAATCTCTCACCAGAGGGCGCGCTCCGCTTACACCTCTGTTGTCGTCTAAAAAGTAGCGCAGATTGTCAAATAATCATATTTGTCGACAAAAATTGTATAAACATTGATTAATTGTTTTGTATGATTTCTCAACGATGTTACGTGTTTGAAGCTCTTTGGTAGTAAATATTTCCTGATTTTGTCTCCTTGGTTTCAGAATGAAAATATGTGTAAAAATTCAGAACAAAATAGTGCAGTATATATTATATATTGAAGCTATTTCAATATATATCCAAATTTTGAAAGAACAAAAGAAATACTACAGATTGATAGATCTAATTTCATTTTAAAAAATTGCCAAGTTGGTAGAAATCTATAATTTATTTTCGTTTTACAAGATTCTTGTAATTTAGACGATAACAGAGGTGTTGGAGCGGACGCGTAAAACGCCCTCTGGTGAGAGATTGATAATTCTCCTATAAATAATTGATTTTGAGTTTAGGTAAGGGCACCCTAAAGGCCGGTTTACACTATGCATATTGACACATACATCTAAACTCAAGCTTCTATTTTGCCTCATATGTCTTCTTACACTATGTTTCTTGACACATGCATTTTAGAATACTTTATAATGAAAGATGAAATTTATCTACTTAAAAAAATAACGAAACCTTCAAATTTCCTTTCCAGATGTGTTTTAGCTGAACAAATCATTCCCAATTTCCCTTTCGTGATAATTCTTTGAAGATATTATTTATATATATTCCAAAAAAGCCTCCTCTTTATAACAATAAACAAAGAAGTTTTTCTAATTGTAGTTTTGATCAGTATTTTCTTTGTTTTGTGTATCTTGGGATGCACTTTTTGCAACCATATGGAGGAAAATAAGGCTTATGACTCAATCTCAACTCTGACCTTTCTTTTCATTGGTCAGTTCTATGCATCTTGACACACGGAATATAGAACAAGTTCTATTCGATCTGTCAAGATGCAACACCTATAAAATCTGACACAAGTGGTATTTACACTGTGAATCCAAGATGCATGTGTCAAGAGGCATAGTGTGAACCGGCCTTAAGGCTTGCTGTACATTGTTAAATTGGAATTCAGGACTGGAATTAAATTCAATATAAGCTATAATAGTAAAAATGATAGCGTTAATAAATTAACATCATATTTGTCCTTCTTTAACAAACAGTGCCATAATTGTTGATTCAATACGAACACATATTGCCAGTAAATTTTACTGGTTTAATACATTAAAATAAACCATGTTTGGGTACATGTAAAGATTCGGTTAAAAGGGAATAATTTAAATGAACATTTTATATTGAAAAAAAAAAATAGATTGATTTTAAATTTCTACTGTTTCTTATCTTATCTACATTAAATAAGATTTTAAAAAATACCACTGGCTTTAAAAAAAAACATTTTCCACATACCTGACACACTATTGAAACTTTGCGGAAACTTACTTTTAAACATACCTATAGTTTCCAAAAAGTTTCTGTACTGAAACGTCAAGTGTCCATAGTGCGGAAATCTAAGGTATCCATGAATACAAATGATTTCCGCAACTGAAACGTGATGAAACTTACGATTGTTCCTCTTAAAAGAAAAACACTACTCTTTTTTTGCCCATTGACATGCATTTTTGCTCGCCTGAGTTCAAGGCTGAAGAAAACATTGCTTATTAAAATTTGTCCGTTGTCTGTGATATCGTTGTCGAGATTCAGTAATGCTGAAATAAAGGGCTATAATCTCTTCCAAGGTTGTATCATTTAGAAATACCGGTAGTAAAAATATTTTGTTGGGTAATAATACGATCAGTAGGGTAGGGCTACAATCGGAAAAGTTTTATCTTGTAATGTCTGGAGAAAAAAAGACTCTGCTGATGAAGAACAAGAAGGGACATATTTACTGAGGTGAGCTTGTGGTCCATAGGCCTCTTGTTTTACACATTATTCCTTTTTCTTACACAGTTCTTTCAGCATAGTACGTATGTATGTGTTTGCTGTAAAACATCGTATACATGTACTAGCAAGTAATTAAATATAATAACGGTGGTGATCATGATAAACGGTCTTTTTTAATTAAAAAAATTATGAAATTGCAATTATGTACTTTTAGGGAGTCCATGGATTTGACCAAAAGATGATCCAATCTTATGGAGGACTTGTCGGGTAAGACTAAGTTTTGGTATTTTACATTTTAACATGTCTTGTGTACATTATGCAGCTAAAATATAAACAAATCAATATCTTGATTTCCAGAAATATGATACAGTTTACATGCATATATTCTGGATTTCTAAGCCTTTTTATTAACGTTGAAAACCTTTGAATTGTAGTCTCTACTTAGGGTCTATTCCTTCTCTACTGATAGCAGACCCCGATATAATCAAGAAAATAACAACTAAAGACTTCTCAAAGGCTCCAAACAGATTGGTAAATATTATCAATATCTATAGAAGAACAAATAATTTTCACATAAATTTAATTTAAATTGTAGTAATGATTAATGCTATTTATTTGAAATGCAATACAAATTTAATTTTTGATTGGCAAATGTAATAAAATTAAATAGAGTTGAGGTATCCTTTCTGCGTTTCACGGAAAAGGGGTTTACATAGACTAAAACTGAGTTAAATTTGTCTGCAGTTAAAGTGAAAATATTTGAAATATAATCAATCGTGTAGTCATTTCACAATTTCGTTTCTGTCTTTACCAATATAATGTACACATATGTAAAAAACAAAAGATATTCCATGCTTTGCTCAAATTTTCCACGTAGTTTAATTCTTAATAGTCTGTGAGCCACCCCAAAATTTCGCTCATTAATCTCTCAGTTGAATTGTATTATGCTAAATTGTTGATAGACTGGGCTCGCAAGGTTACATGTATTTATGTTTTAACCATGGACTTTCTGTCGACAACACATGTACGAGGGTCATTCAAAAAGTTCGTAGACTTTTGTCGTAATTCTTAATTTAACATTATATTACATCCATATTTGATACACCTATTTTAACAACAAATTCGAATAATTTGAGTTAAAAACATGGAAAATATTTTCATATTTGATAAAACTATCAAAGATTTAGAACAGCAAAAATGGGGTCACGGAGCAACGTCAAAACTGAGTAATTTACTAATTTTTTTAGAGCAGCTATAGCAACAACTCTAATGAATGGAGCTGAAACGAAATAAAATTTACATTATGTGTGTATAAATTAAGTGTTTCTGTACTACTTAAGGTGCTATCAGGTAATGTAATATATTGCTCCGTTTAAAAGATATCAAAAAAAGATTTTAAAAAGGCAACCAAAAAAAAACCCTGACGTTGTATGACGTCACGGAGCAGCGAGTGGCAATAAAAGTTTGCTTTGCATTCGGGCAAGGGTCTCTAACAAACCTTAAAAATTCTGTATAAACCAGGAAATGTATGAAAATTAAGTCGTGTTTTTGTATAAAATGGAAAATACAATTTTTGATTGGTAGCGAGTTTGAATCGGACGATGGGTGGTCGGCAAAGAAACAAGTTAAAGCTCTTGCCAAAAGAGTTAGGAACGTCATTAAACGTGATGCGCGCCTTACTGTTGCGGAACTAATAGAGTAACGTGAAACACTGACAATCTAGTTCAAGCTATTGGCACAATTGTTTGCAAACTAGGTATCAAATGTTATGGATACTTTTTAGCTCACCTCAACGAAGTTGGGGGAGCTTATGTGATACCCTCGGCGTCGGTGTCGGCGTCGGCGTCCCAGGTTAAGGTTAAGTTTTTTGGAGCAGTTTTCTTTTTAATTACTTCTGTGTCCTACACTGATTAGACATGCATGGAAGATGGTTTTAGTGTATTTTATTGTACCAGACAAAGTTTCAGATGCTGCAATTTCAGCAAAGGAATTACCAGGTTAATGTTTTTGGAGCAGGTTAACATTTTTGGTGCAGTTTTTGGTGTGGGTTTCATTTCCAAGTAACTATAAGCCCTATGTTGACCAAACTTGCATGGATGATACATCTAAGGATGCATACTACCGGGCTTGCTTCGGATGCTGAATCTGACCTACATTTTCCGGTTGAGTGAACAGGTTAAAGTTTTTGGTGCAGGTTTCATTTCCAAGTAACTATAAGCCCTATGTTGACCAAACTTGCATGGATGATACATCTAAGGATGCATACTACCGGGCTTGCTTCGGATGCTGAATCTGACCTACATTTTCCGGTTGAGTGAACAGGTTAAAGTTTTTGGTACAGGTTTCATTTCCAAGTAACTATAAGCCCTATGTTGACCAAACTTGCATGGATGATACATCTACGGATTCACTTTACAGGGCTTGCTTCGGATGCTGAATCTGACCTACGTTTTCCTGTTGAGTGAACAGGTTAAAGTTTTTGGTGTAGGTTTCATTTCCAAGTAACCATAAGCCCTATGTTGACCAAACTTGCATGGATGATACATCTAAGGATGCATACTACCGGGCTTGCTTCGGATGCTGAATCTGACCTACACTTTCCAGTTGAGCGAACAGGTTAATGTTTTTGGTGCAGGTTTCATTTGCAAGTAACTTTAAGCCCTATGTTGACCAAACTTGCATGGATGATACATCTAAGGATGCACACTACCAGGCTTGCTTCGTATGCTGAATCTGACCTACATTTTCCGGTTGAGTGAATAGTTAAAAGTTTTTGGTGCAGGTTTCATTTCCAAGGAACTATGAGTTCTTTAATGACCAATCTTGCATAGATGATACATCTAAGGATGCATACTTCCAGGCTTGCTTCGGATGCTGAATCTGACCTACTTTTTGTGGATGAGTGAATATGTTAGTTTTGATGCATGTTTCATTTCCAATAAACTATGAGCCCTATAATGAGCAAACTTGCATGGATGATACATCTAAGGATGCACACTAATGGACTTGCTTCGGATGCTGAATTGGACATACATTTTTCAGATAATAGACAAGGTAAAAGTTATGGTTACAGGTCTATTACCAAAAACTATAAGGCTTATATAACATTGTATAAACCAAACTTGCACAAATGCTGCATCAAGAGATGAAAACTCTCAAATTTGCTTCAGATGCTGGATTTTCATTACATTTTCATGAAGAAGAAGTAGTTTAAATTTTTTATGTAGGTCTATTTCAAAGTATCAGATCAAAATTGCTTTTAAAAATATTTTCATTTTTGGAATATACTTTTTGTTGGTTAATTGTGTGACTTTGCCTTACTTAAAGACGACATTCGTTGAGGTGAGCTCTGTAATCTCTGATTACCTATCGCAGTGGCGGATTTAAGGGGCGGCGCACCCGGCGCGCGCCCCCCCCCTAAAATTGTCAAAGTTAACGTAAATCACAGTTTCGGCTAGAAAATGTGAATATGTATACTTGGTAGACCTCATTTTTACCCTACAAAATCTCTAGAATCTAGGAGCTTCCGGGGGCTTCGCCCCCTGGGCCCCCACCAGGGCTTTGCCCTGGACCCACTGGGGGCCTCAAGGCGGCCCCCAGACCCCTTGCCTACTTTTGGCGCCCCCTCTAACTTCAATTCCTGGATCCGCGCCTGTATCGTCCTATGTTTTATGAATGAAGAAGACGCTACACACCGTGTATGAAATTGAAAAGCAGAGTTATTTTGAGAAACTTTCTCGACGTTGTTTTTGACGTTACAGTGTTATTTAACCGTGCTCCTTGGCAAAAAAATGTTGCTTTAAAAATTCACTAACATGAGTTCTATTTAATCGAATTGAATGAAACTTCACACTTTAACAAAATAAATGTTTTTATTTACAAAAATGTGTTGATCTATACGATGGGGAACACTGTGTAGTGTGTACTGTTATGGGTCAGAATTACCCGAAATGCCAGCAAAGATCAATAACAAAATTTAAACTTAACAATAATTTATTTACAGTAATATATAATAAGTATATGAAACATAAAGTACAAACTTAGCAAGAATCTAAAAAAATACATACATCAGAGTGTCCGTTGCTGCACACAATGTCCCAGTGAAATTATATCCCAGTAATACCTCAATGATGCTTATACGACAAATTATCCACCATTCTTTATGCATCGAATTGACTGGGTATTTATACAGTATCATAAATCTAGAATATTCTAGAAATTGTTAAAACATGATATTACTGGAACAATCTGGACATACACAAAATTCAGGAATGTTCTAGAAACAATGACCGAACATATTGACCACTCTGGAATGTTCAAGAAACATAATGTTACTAATTATATACATAATGAAACAATACACATCTCACAACACCTCCCCCCTTAAAAAGTTTGAATGTCAATGAAAACTTATATTATTAAAATAAAAGTTATGTACATTAATACAAAATCTAATATGTTTACGATACTCTTGACAAGGCGTCTGCAATAACATTGTCTTTGCCTTTGATATGCTTAATTGTTATGTTGTATTCTTGTAAGAACAAACTCCATCTAGTCAGTCTTTGATTCTTGTTTGACAATTTATGCAAAAATGTCAGGGGGTTGTGATCCGTATATACAAGAATTGGATGCAAAGTAACATTCAGATAAACATAAAATGTTGTAAGGCTAACAACAAAGCAAGGCATTCCTTTTCAATGGTGGAATACTTTTGTTGACATTTTGTAAGTTTCTTTGAAAAATAAGAAACAACTCTATCTACCTTATCACTATGTTCTTGAAACAAAGCTGCCCCGATTCCAACATCACTAGCGTCAACAGTAAGCTTAAATTGCTTAGAAAAATCTGGAGTTGACAGAACTGGGTTGCTCATAAGGACAGATTTGATTTTTTGAAATGATTTTTCACAGTCCTTTGTCCATTCAAAGTTAACCCTCTTCTGCAAAAGATTTGTAAGTGGACTTACAACTGAGGAAAAATTTGGACAAAATTTTCTGTAAAACCCAGCCATGCCCAAAAACCTCATTAACTCTTTCTTGTTTGTAGGAATCGGGAACTTTGCAATAGCTTCCACTTTAGCCGTAATTGGTGTAACATAACCTTGACCTACTTTATGACCTAAATACTCTACATAAGCATGACAAAATTCGCTCTTCTCAAGATTCACAGTTAAGTTTGCTTTAGCTAAAATGTCAAATAAAGCACGCATGATTCGAAGATGTTCGTCCCATGTGTCACTGTATATGATGACATCATCAATGTACGCCTCGCATCCCTCAAGGTCTTGAAGAAGGGAGTGAATCATTCTTTGGAATGTAGCTGGTGCGTTTTTCATGCCAAAAGGCATTACTTTATACTGGTAAAGTCCATCTGGTGTAGCAAAAGCAGATATTTCTTTTGCTCTTTCTGTTAACGGCACTTGCCAGTAGCCTTTCAACAGGTCAAATTTACTGACAAATTTCGCGTTTCCAATATTGTCAATACAGTCATCGATTCTAGGTATTGGATATGAATCAGTTTTGGTAACA